AAGCACAACTAAGGGAACAACAACCAAACAAGTCCACACAACAACATCTGAGGAAACAACAATCAGTGTTGAAACAACAAAACCACCCACAATCACCACTGGCCCAGTGACCACCTCTACAACAACTACTGTTGAAACTACAACCTCAGTGCCTGGTGTCACAACAAGAAGTTCAGAAACCACAGTGGTGACCTCAAAACCATCTGTTAGCACCACAACTACTGAGGGACCTTCAACAACCAGTAAAGGAACTACAACAAAACCAGTAGAAACAACTACCTCAGGATCAACAACAATAAAGTTTGAAACAACCAAACCAACTACAGGAGTCACCACAAGCCCAGTGACTAGCTCTACCACAACTCGTGTAGAAACTACGACTGTGGTGCCTGGTGTCACAACAACAAGCTCAGAAACAACAGTTGTAATCACAGCATCGCCACAATCATCAACTGTATATTCAAAACCTAATGTTATGAACACAACTACTGTTACTTCAAGTGTAACTACAGGAACAACAGTCAAAGCTTCAACATCAATTGGCCCAATAACACAGACACTCCCACCAAGCACAGCTATTTACACCACTGGTTCAACCACTGCTCCATCAACGAGAACCACAGTTCTTTCTACTCTTTCACAGTTTACCACATCTCCAACATTATGTGCCTGTATTAGGAATGGAACTTCATATCGTCCTGGTAGGTGATTCTCCATTTTTCATTTTCACATGCATGCTTTTTTTATTAGTAGGACTTGCCTTTTCTTTCAAATTGAAAGTCTGTATATTAGTTTTTCTTTCCATCGTGCTTATTTGACATGATTTAGAGATTCAGTTTATTGAAATTTTATCCATGATCATCTTTACAATTTCTATAGGAACACATTTTTTATCCAATGTGCATTCCATCTCCTACAGAAGGGGAAAATAAGCGGGGTTTTTTCCCATTAGTCATAACTTTAGGTCATAACAAAAGATTTTGAGTATTAACTAAGAGTGAGAAAATTAATCTGAATGAACGCATAATTAATGAGTTATTAATAACTAATTCCTGGATAGCCCTGCAATTGAGAACTATATATTAGATATAGATGTAGTAGAGACCCAACTAGGACATACTATATTAATGAAACATTAGATAATGATTATTTTATAAATATCTTTGAATTGACATACGACCACTTTGACCATGAGTTCTTGATTTAAGTCAGTATTAGCGAATGGTACTATTTATTTAATCATTTAGTTACTCTGTGCACCCTTAAGTAATACATCATTCTGAGTAGTCACTAAATAGTCCTTAGTTATTTCATGATAATGACATGTTGTAGAGACAGAGACATCTTCATATTCAAACTACACACATTAATATTCACATGAACCTAAGAGGGATCTTGGAGATTAGAATTGATTTTTATGTTTGATTTAATAATTCTTGCTCTTGAATTAGTAATTCATGCTCTTGATTAATATTGTCTTTGGCAAGAGACATCTGCTTTCAAGCTGTGTCTCTCCTCTTTTTGCTGCCCAAACAATGCTACAAAGCCACTCTATAATGAAAAACATGTTTAGTTGGCTTTTTCACATAGGTTTCACCACAATGTTGATAAGTGTTGATAAATATGTGCCGTTAATATCTATAATTATTAAATCTTACCTGTTATGTTCACATGTGTCTGAATAATCTGTTTATCATTAATTATTAAATATCTGTGGCCATCACGTAGCAGCCATAAAAATACAAGCCAAATTATTTTTTACAGACAACACACAGCAGCAGTAACATTAATAACCATTTGTAAAGGACACTACAAAATTATTGCGATGGAGAGGAGGACTGAATCTTATATTTCATTTCATAAAAAAAGCGAGACCCTCTTAGACAGTGTGGCAAACTTAACAAAATGATGAATCTAATTATTATTTCTTAAGCCCAAATCAGTCAATATTATTACTTAATCTCAATTCATACCAAGTAGGTGGAGAATTGTTTTCACTCTTGCAGTTAGAGATGAAATGGTTACAGGTTTCACTCTATATAACGGTAGAAATGCCCGATGGTTAATATTATCGTTTAAAATTTAATTATCACTATAATTACCGTGGTGAATTTCTGTGGTTAATTTCACTCACGTTAGGTTCTGTATGGCATCAACCAGCAACAGTCCCCCAGACACATGTGCGGCGAGCAACATGGGTTTGTAATGTGTCAGTGAAAACATGGCGTAAGGCAGTGGCAGCGCTGCTGCGGAGATTTTTCAGATTCTAAAAACTTTTTACACCAAAGTTAGTAGGTATAAGTGGGTGTTTTAAAAGCGAGTAAACCCGTTAAAAAGGCGATTGACTCCTTTTACACTGTCACGGGAGTTTACCTTTCTGTTCGGAGGGGTGTCACATGACCACGGAGACACACTCAGACGCAGCAGAGAAACAGGAAGCTGTAGCCGCTGAGCCTCCGCGTGAGACGCTCCGATCTGTGATTGTGTGTTTTAAAAACGCTGCAGTTCGCTGTTTCATCCCTGAGCGCAGTGTAGCCACGGTGTTTCTGTTTTAACAGCACCATGTTGGACAGGTGACAGGGGTGTCTACAGTGTCTGTGACGCGTAAGACGTTTTAGCACGGAAAACAATATATTTGCTTTTCCCTTTTTAAGAGTGGACATGCAGCAGGCAAACTCAGTAGTGCTATTGGTCCCTTATGGGATAGATGTGTTGGACATGTAATTATTTTAATGTTTAAATGCAAACATTCACTTGGTGAAATTATTTCAGGTCTTACTACTTTTTGAACATTTTCAGCACATTTTAACAATACCATGATAATACTGATAACTGATAATTTTGGTCACTATAGTCATGATACTAAATTTCTATGTTGTTTCATGTCTACTTGCAATGATTAAAGGTTACTTAAGGTTTTCTCTCAGAAACTGATGAGGTGGTAGCAGGCAATTTTAAATGCCTTAAAATGTTAACAGGGTATTTGCTGTTGTCTGAAGACATACAAATTTGGACTATTAATGCAGATGCCAAACTAGAGGTTTGGTCCAGTTGGCGTTCCATACCCCAGTCACCAGATCTGAATCCAGTAGAGCACCTTTCGGATGTGGTAGAACAGGAGATTTTAGCATGAACGTGCAGCTGAAAAATCAGCAGAAATTATGTGATGTAATCATGTCAACATAGCAGAATCTCGTTTCCAAGACCTAGTGGATCCACGACACAAAGAAGTGATGCTAGTTTGAGAGCAAAGGGAGGCTCTACCCATTATTAATATGGTGCTCCTAATAAAGTGAATGTATGTGTTGCATGCACTCTTACGCAAAGGACCTTAAGCTCTTTTATGCAAAGCTAAGTTGGCGTTTTTCTTGATGCCATGAAGTAAAGTAATACATTATACATTCTCTTATTAAATACATTTGTTTATGAATCCATATTCCTTTAATTTTGTGCACTTAACTTTAATATCTGCTGTTCTTTACAGGGGACATGGTTTACAATGTCACTGATGGCTTAGGGTGGTGTTACATTGCATATTGCAATGCATCTTGTAATATTGTGGCAGAGCCCAGTCTATGTAACACAACACCGATACCCAGCACAACCGCCCACTCTACTACTACATTGTTCAGCACCTCTACAAAGGCCACGATTTCAAGCTCAGTTCCTCCCTCCACAACTGTTCCTACTTCTTCTCACATTCCATCAACAACCCCATCAACAACAACCCTGGACTGCAATGATGTGGATCCACCAAGAAAGGTAGGACATACTGTCCATGAAATATGTTTTTATTTGTGATTGTATTTTCAAAAGACTTGAAGTATTGTATTTCACCTGTACCTGCTTTGTGTGCAGGAACACACCTGTGAACTGGCATTTTCCTGCATCATGCTGAGGTTATTTCCTCAACTGTGCTGGTTTAGTTTCTTGGTGCCTCACCATGTGTCCCATAATTGGACATTAAACAGTCTAGAGAGAGGCAGGACAGATGTGTGGCTGTGAAGACCAACATCTGTGATAGTGATTGTTTAGGTTAATTTTTATGGTGGTGTTCCCAGAAAAAAAGTGCCATATTTTAAAACATCCTTTTGTGTTTATTTGTGGATCATTACCAGGAACACATTTATGCCACAATATGAGAATTGAACAGGCAACTCTTTCATTTCTAGCTTGTCAGTAGTTATTTTTGCAAGTAAACCAGTCAAATCCAACAGTTTTATACTTTATAAATAACCCTAGCAATATAAAAACAGTATGCAAAATACTACACCACATTTTAAATCCTACTTTCACTTTATATATTACACTACTATGGTGGGGTTTAGCTGCATTTGTCACTCTTCAAGTTTCTTATGAAGAAAGCTCTCCACAGGTTTCTCAAACTGTCAATAAATACTGTTAAAAAGGGGTTAAAATGGGTGATAGTACTTAATGTGATTGGCCATGATTGCCACAGCCTCTAACACACCCATCTATGATGTATGATGATGCATTTTTTCTGGTACCACCCCATATCCAAGGGTGCCACAGGTGCACCATGCGAATTTGGGAATTAAATTACCAAACATGCATCTGGCATACTGCCGACACACTGGGCATGGCTGAGCAACACAGAGTTCACTAAAGTATAGCCCTGCATCTTGAAAAATCTTACTGTTTAACACACCCACACTTTCCTATATGACTTACTGTCTCTTAATCCCCATCCAGAATGGAGAAACCTGGAAGGCTGACAACTGTACCACAGCTGTGTGCACTAATGGCAAGGTCACGGAGACACAGACTCCCTGTCCCACAGTGGAGCAACCAATCTGTGCCAATGGACGCAAAGCTGTCAAGGTTTATGACGGATGCTGCTTCCACTATGAATGTGAATGTAAGTTGAAAATATAACTTTTCAATACAGGTTACTACTTTTGACTACTACTACTTTTTATTATATTCAGCAGGGAATCCTGTGTGCTAAGACTATTGACAGTAAAACATCCATTTTGCAAATGAGTGACAGTTGTACTGCACAGTGAACTGGATTTACCAAGAAAATGGCTTTAAGAAAAGGTGTGCTGCAGTTTTCATTGAATTTGGAGCCACAATCTTGGGCCATCACCCGACTGTCCACTAAATGACACTAAATTTGCTCCAGTAGCAGTAACTACTAAAGCAACTAACTACTAAAGTGATTCTGTACTAGATGCTAACTGCTAATAAACACGGTGATCTTGATGTTTTCTTCCTGTTCAAGTTCTTACTTTAAATTTGTCGTGCAGGTGTGTGCAGTGGTTGGAGTGGAGCCCACTACATGACATTTGATGGAAAATCATACAGTTTTGATGAGAACTGCACTTACTACCTGGTCAAAGAGATAATTACTAAATATAACTTGACTATTATCTTAAATAACCAAGACTGCGATCCTTCGGACAGCACATTCTGCCCCCAGTCTCTCTATGTTATATACCAATCCTACAAGGTCGTTTTGACTCAGTTGAAGACTTCAGGAACAACTAATGTGGTAAGCAACAATTGAAATTATTTGTTATTTTAGAGTCAGTATTTCACATGATTAATTATTTTTAGAGCTGTGACCTAATAGTTAATCTGTCAAAATGGTGTAAGACATGCTGCTGTGCTTGGTTCACAATCTTATCTAATGTGTTTTTTCTCCTTGTCCTACAGGTGTACGTGAATCAGAAACGTATCTATCCCGCCTACAGCAATTCCGTCCTGCGCCTCACTGGCACAGATATGGTGATCACACTGGAGATACCAGCGATCAGCACAAAAGTGGTCTACAGGGGCAACTCATTCAGCATTGACCTCCCCTATTCCCTCTTTGAGGGGAACACTGAGGGACAGTGTGGTGAGTTACCCAGACACTTAACCCCCGAACCTCACCCGACCCTATTCATAGGCCAAAAAATGGTGTGAAATAAAAACATGTCAGTGGCACTTATGACCAGAGAGCGTTGCATCTACTGACACTGCACTGTTACTGCCAGGACGCAGAGTAAGACTTCTGAAACTGAAAAAAAACAAGAAATTAACTCTAAACAACAAAGCTAAAGTTTAAATCCAAATCAGAATTTCCAGAAGGCCTGAAATTTCACACAGGTGTTTCTGAAAAGATGTAGAAGGGATGGGTGGGGACAAAGAAATACCATGTATGAATTGGTGTAGTTTAGGTTGGGCTTTAGTCCCATTCTAAACAAATTTTCAGAAACTAGAAGATGCTACCTTTCAAATGATGCCTCATACATGGATTTTGGCTTTACAATTCGTCTGTTCTAAGCTTTTTCATTGGACTATGCAAATGTTTGCAAAATGGTGGGTTTAAGGGTTTTCTTAATTGCACAAAATTACTTCTTTCAGCCTAATGAGCAATTTGGTCATTAGCATAATCAACACTCCAAGAATTGCCACATCAGGCTGCTTGTAAAAGTTAAAAAGATGAATTTCATAGCATGGCACTTCAGATCATGTTGTTGGAAATCAGAAAAAAATGGCAAGTTTTGCAACAATGTGGTCGTAGTACCTTGTTGCACTGCTCTGCGTGGCACTGTGCCAGACATAAAGAGGGAATGGTTTAAGCCACATCACATTAGATGCTAAAAAACATCTTTCTAAAGCAAAGTGGTCTATGACTCGTACGAGTCTGTGAAGGGCTCGACAGTCACAGTGATATTAGAGAGAAAACTGAAGCCTGTAGAAAGAAATGTTGTCGCACTGTTGAGTGCAACAGAAGGTGATATTGTGCAGAGACCTGCAGAAAGATCCTGAGGTAGAATTTCTGAACTGTATTAGTTGCTGTGTCAAAATATGTAATTAAAGTATATTTCCATGATGATGATAATCTGTATATTGGAATATTCATTTTGAGAGTTGGTAAATGAGGTCTAGATTATTCACAAATTTAGGTCATTACTTAGAGAAAGTTAAATACAAGAAAACTGGTGAATGCCACAGATTCTCTTAAACTGATTTTTCTTGTGAACAAATGTGTTGATGTGGCTCATTCATGCATGAGGCTGAGTGCGCTGCCTTCATCCTGCTGCCTCTCCTTTTCCAGGAACCTGTGACAACTCGAAGAACAACGACTGCCGTTCTCCCAATGGCCAGGTGGAAAGCTGCTCAGACTCTGCAGGCCAGTGGCATGTCCCAGGTACATCCTGTGTCACCCCCACAACTCCACCAACTATGACTACATCAACCAGCGAGACCACCACAAAACAAACAACAACATCTTTTTGCAAACCTGCCATCTGCGATCTTCTAACCAGCAGGTGAGGGAAACCAATGTTGCAAGTCAAACCTGACATGTATTGGCAGCAAATGAATTTGTGTGGATCACATGGGGTCCAGCATGTTTGGTGTGGACCAGGCCAGGACTACCACAGTGTGGTGCATGGTGGTGTGTTGATATGGGGCTGCTTTAGTGCAAGAGGTGTAGGGGAGATGACATTTATAGGTGGTACTGAATGAAAAGGCGACTGCCATTCCCAAGACACTTGACGGGAGAGGAATTTTCCAACATAATGCAACACAAAAATGATCCCAAACACACTGCAGAAGAAAAAAGTGAAAACTATGACCTGGCCAAGTCTGTCCCCTGAAATGAATCCAGTACAACACCTTAGGAGTATTTTAAAGTGGAAGGAGGATCAAATCTGTCATCAGAAATAACTGTCTGGGGTTTGCATGTTCTCCAGGTTTTCTGGCTTCCTCCCACAGTCCAAAGACATGCAGGTTAATTGGCAACTCTAAATTGCCAGGAGGTGAGAATGTGAGTGTGAATGGTTGCCTGTCTCTATATGCAACAGCAGCACACAGAGATCGCTCCCGAAATTCTGATGGATTAGGTCAGTTGGTGTAAGTCATCTGATCATTTTTCCTGATACACTCTCTTGGTTTGTGTATGTCCTCTCCAGTGTATTTGAACCGTGCCACAAAGTCATATCACCAGGACCATTTGTGAGATCTTGTGTTTACGACATTTGCAAAAGTGACAATAACAGCTGCTCCAGCCTGGAGGCCTATGCCACTGAGTGCGCTAATGGAGGAGTCTGTATCGACTGGAGGAACGCTACTAATGGACAGTGTGGTGAGAGAAATAATCAATAGTGTTCAATACCACAGTTGTGTGGAGTTCTGAAGAATGTGTGTTTAAACATGTCTCCATCTTGCAGAGCACAAGTGTCCGAGCAACAAAGTGTACATGGTCTGTGGCCCCACTGTGGAGCCTACATGCAACAACGGGTAAAGTAGACTGTGTTTTTTTAGATCGTAACATTTACGCACCATTTCCCTTATTCATGTGCTCACATTGAGGTTGTTATTGAAGCATTGAATTAGACGTGATATTTAATTTAATGAAAAACTATCAGAGACAGAGACTTGATTATGCTCTTAAAGACACACTACAAAAAAGTATTACCATATTTAGGTGTAACAGTTCGGAGAATTCTTCATCATGTGACAATCTTTCAAAACATTTCAAGGCTCCTCACCACTGTAACAACAAGTCGTTTTATTTCTGACATCAGATACAACAAGAAGTTCCAGGCTGATGGCAACACATCCACTAACTACACTAAGGAGGGCTGCTTCTGTCCTCATGGCACCACCTTATTCAACACTGTCTATGACGAATGTGTTACCTCCTGCGGTAAGAGATCCTTTTTTTTTTTTTTTTTTTAAATGTCAACTGTGAATATTTTTCACAAAAGTATCAGCTGTCACATACAAATCTACAAACACTTTTTTGTGAATTTCAGATTGTGTTGGACCTGATGGAAAACCAAAACAGGTGAGAACTCTGACTAAAACATACATTCATGTTCACTAGCAAAGCTCAAGCTGTGTGTCTGAACCGGTTCCTGTCTCTTAACCAGCCTAATGAGACGTGGAAAAGTGGCTGCAACAACTGTGTGTGTGACAAGGACTCCATGAGCATCCAGTGTGAGCCCATCAAGTGCTCCACGGCACAGAGCCCCAGCTGCAGCGAGCCTGGCCAGCAGCTGGTCAACAAGACAGACGGCTGCTGCACAACACAGTCATGCGGTCAGTTGTAGTGCCTCAGAAATGGATGATTTGTGCCTTCAACAAAGTGAAAGATGAATGCAGTAACATCTGCATCTGATTAACACACAGGATTTCTTTTAATTACTTATCTTATCTTATACCCACTCTACACCTGATAGTAACATGTGGTCTGCATCTGCATATGTAAACTCCATCAGCTGGATTTGCCAGACCACATCTAGAGATGGTCTCATCTCATCTCAAGTAATTGTTTAACATTTTCTGTTTGTGTAGGATTAAACATGAGATAGAGCATGTTAATGAGTGAGCCTAGGACACTCAGGTCAGCTGTTTCCAGTCTTTATGCTAAGGTAGAGGTAACCATATCCTGACTCCAGCTCTGTACTTAACACACAGACATGAATTGGACACAATAGTTTGGAGCAGCGGCAGACTGAACTTACTGCCACATGAAGTGTATGTAAACAGATGCGTTTGCTTAGCTCAGAAAAAATGAGTGAGCTTCACAGTCAGTGTCAACAAATCTTTGAACGGAACAAAACAGTCAGCAATGGGATTTGTACTTTCTGCCTCTAGTGTGTTTCCCAAAATGCTGATTGATTCCTAAAAGTCCTCCCAACAGGTTGAAAGGTGACCGACCTGCAGCTCTTCCTGTGCTAAGGGGGAAAAAAGCAAAAGTCAACACAGAGGCTTCACCTCACCTGACACCCACCATTTTTGTTGACAGTCCTAACTAATTATCATTTTGAAATCCAATCACAGTGTAGGCAGGGCAGATATAATGAGAACTCTTATCAATACCAGATGTCATTGCAAAGACCTGTGATCAGATGCCATTATTCAGGTGATATTGAATTACATACTGCATGTTAATACCAGGTGGAGATTAGGTCTTGCTTTACTTGTTACTTGTTTTCACTCATTTCTTAACCAAGAACCTACCACAGAGCAGCTGGCTGCTCTCCAAAGGAAAAGCACATGTTTTAGATTGAAGTTTGAGTTATAAATCTTCTTCTTCTGTCTCAACAGAATGTAACGTGAACCTGTGCCCTGCTGTCATCACCTGCCCGCTGGGCTTCAGAGTCAACGCCACCAAAGGCACTTGCTGCCAGTCCTATGAGTGCGGTACGTGACTCTATCTATCAACATGATGTTGTCTGCTAGTGTACAATATGTATGGTCCTAAAGACACATGCCACAGAGAGCCTGTACGAGCTGAAACACAGAGACATAAACAGAAATTTAATCTTATTCTGATTTCTCAGGGTAAAATATTTACAACACAGTTTCCGTCCTGTGTGTTCTAGTTATTTTAAAACACAAAAGCACGTACTGTAGTCTGCACATTTCTCATCGAGGTTTTGCATATGTAGGTTTGATTCCCTTTGTCTGAAAAAGACAGTCTTAGATGTTCAGGAAACATTTCCAATATCAGAAGCATGTAGCTGATTCTGATGCATTTTCTGTTTAAGGAGAGAAAGCATCAATAAAAGGAAACACGTATCAGTCCAGTTATCTAGTGCCGATTTGTAGGAGTTAATAACTCCTCACCTTTTATTGTTAGAGTTAAATCATTGTCACACATGTTCAGAGCAACAATTTGGGGGGAAATGCTGTTTATTGTCTCACCACAGAATTACATTTTATATCGATTGTTTACAGAGGTCGATTAACAACACATCTCAGTCACTAAATCTAATAAACTAGTGTCTCTTTATTTGTCCCTACAGTTCCTAAAGGTGTGTGTGTCTATGACATGAAGGAATACAAGGTAAGCACACAGTCCAAACTCATCAACATATCTGTCAACTTCAGGTACAACAGGGAGGAGGGTCCAAATACAGACACAGGCAGGCAGGGCAGAGGGAGGGAATGACTACTATTCATACTGTGGGGCTAAATGAGGGAACAGGTGACAGTTGTGCTGGTAGGAGAAGGGTCTGGTAACAGACTGGAACTCAAGAGGGACCTCTGGTGGACAGATGAGGACACACAGGGTCTGAAAAGTGTCCAGAAAATGCTGAAAGACAGAGCGGATAAATCCAAAAGACTGAAACTGGACCTTATCTGTCATGAATTACAACAAACAGGAAGAAACGGGAGAAGAATGATAGCTACTGTCAAATAACATCCCAAAATCCTTCAGAAGCACGTTGACATGCATATGTGTTACCATGGTTACAAAATGATAGAGGAGATGGTTTTCTTGACAGTTGCTATGATGAGTAGATTGATCGATTGATACATGTCACTTCCTATATCACAGTGCTGGGTTTACCTGGAGTGTGGGTCTGTATTTGTCCATCTGAACAGGATGAAGGTGTCGTAGGTGTGAATAATAACACAAACAGCCCCCGGTGCAGCTTTAGGGGGTTTTAAATATTTGGTCAGGTTCAAACTAACTCTGGTATGTTGGTTTTGTTTGTTTGTTTTCCTGTTTAACCTCTGGCGTGGAGTAAACAAGCACACCAAGACAACTACTAAAGGTGGTTTCTGAGTAAACTCTAAATTTACACGACCCATTATCCAAGATCATTTGGTGACCATGGTAACCTGTATGTGTGTCATGATTTTCCCTGATACTTACCTTGAAGTAGAGTCTTTTTTCCAGCTGTTTATCCAGTTGTTGCTCTCAGCACTCATAACCAACAACATTTCTTCATCAGCTGTTTGTGGCCCCAACAAAACTAAATAAACAGATAAGGTGCAGTAAAGTGCAACATGACCAGCTGTCAGTCACCAGAAGAAACCACTGGCTCGACAAAACAATACAGCCAACAAAACATTACACTTGATGTTTAATTTGTATTGATTCAAGACTTAACTGATGTTTGAGAGTGAAGCATTGATCTTTTGATCATTTACAGCCTGGTGCCAAGATACCAACACCACAAACAACATCAGAACCTCCACTGGCATCACCATCACGATCACCATCAGAAGCATCATCAGGATCACCATCAGGATCACCATCAGAAGCATCATCAGGATCACCATCAGAGGCATCATCAGGATCACCATCAGAGGCATCATCAGGATCACCATCAGGATCACCATCAGAGGCATCATCAGGATCACCATCAGGATCACCATCAGAGGCATCATCAGGATCACCATCAGAAGCATCATCAGGATCACCATCAGCATCACCATCAGAGGCATCATCAGGAACAGGACAATCATCAGGAACAACAGCAGCATCATCAGGAAAGGAAGCCAAACAGGAAACTACATCAGAAGGGTCGTCTGACCCCGGGCCCTGCCAGGACTGTTACTGTGGCCCCAAGGTGGATCCCACCACAAAGCTGAACATCATTAACTGCAAACCTCTTGTCTGCAACACAACCTGCTCAAAAGTAAGTTCATTCTGACACAGAAGCTTCACTCACACGAGGTGGACACTTTATTTGGTAGATCAATCAATCTAGTGTGAAGATTTCCTTCAAGCACACCTCTATAAGCATGGCAGGGTGACTCTTTCTACCCAGCAGTCACTTTTCAGGGTTTGCCAGGGTCATTAACTTGTGCGTTCTCATCCTGACTGTTTACGACATTATGCTCATCCGGGAACTGACATGGCATTTTCAGTGACCTTCCCATTTCAAAAATTGTGGTTGTAGCAGTTTGGAATTTCCTCGCATGATCTCGAGATTCAGCGTCTTGCCTATTTTTCATGACGTGCGGCACCCAGCAAAAATAGACAGAGAAAAGACCTGTTGATGTTATATTGACATCATACCTGTAACATTACATGACAACTGACACGCTTCACTATAGTTTCAGTGTTGAGGCTGAATCTGAATATGACACAGACATGAAAAAATATAAATATACAGTGGCATTTTAGTGACATAAATCAGAAATAAATAAATAATGAAGAGAAATCCAACATTCAGGTAGCCCGCAAACTCCTGGCTTGCAGCCCAAATAGTAAGGTGTTAGAATGCACTGTCCAGCAGTGACGTAAACTCATCTACCTCAGAATACTGTAGCAAGAAAATCCCAGAATCATGTTCCAGCTTTTCAGAAAGTTCCATATTTGGGAACCAAAGAATAATGAGGAATAAAGATTTTCCAATGTTCCAGTGGCAGAATCTGAAGAGGTTACATTAAAATGAGTTAAACATGGTTTTAAGAAGACACTAACATTTTCTTATGCAGCCAAAAGAGTTTATTTCTTCTTCTTTTCTCTCTGCCTTCTCTCCTTCTCTCTCTCCGTCTTCAGGGTTATGAATATCAGACTTCACATGACAAGTGCTGCGGGACCTGTGTTCAGAAGAGCTGTATTTTCACCACACCTGACAACACCACGCAAGTCATTGAGGTCAGTAAACTGTGTGTGGGCTACCTCACATTTCTACCAGCCAAGGATATGAGAGAAGGGATGTTAGCTCCTTTTACCAATTAAAAATGTAGGTATTTGTAAATGAAAGTAAGACAAAGAGATACAGATAATTTAATTGAATTCTTAGATTAATTTAATTCTTAAAGTTAAAAATAAGACTCGCCTTGTTAAAAAACATGACAACTATTTAATATCAGAGCCTTTTAATATCAGCTTCATCACATTTGCCGGTGTCAGTTCTTGTCAGTTTCTCCTTCCGAAATGTTGTTGTGTTTGTAGATGAGCCAAAGAGAATAAAAGATGATCTCTGTGTTGTGACCATGTGACTTACTGTAGCTTCTGTTCTTCCTGTTGGTATAGGTCAACAACACTTTTGTACCCTCTGATGACAAGTGTGTGGTATATACCTGTGAGAATATCAATGGACAGCCTGTTACCAAGGAAACCAAGAGCAATTGTCCTCACTTTAACCCCTTGGACTGCGAACCTGTGAGTTTATCTAACCTGCTGATTTTACCCCCCGTCTACTGTCCCACCCCCTCACATGAACTGTCTGCATCTAACACACAACATAACGTGTCTTCTTCTTCCTCTAGGGCACCGAGACAACCGACGCTAACGGATGTTGCAAATCCTGTAAGTTGGTGGAGTCACAGTATTTGAACAACAAGGACTAAACTTAAAATCATCAGCATGTTTTAAAGGACGGAGCTGTGTGTCGTGTGTTAGTGTTGGAGTCTAACAGCTGCTGTGTGTTCCAGGTAAGATCCGGAGTGTGTGTGAGGTCCAGAACGAGCCGACAGTCATCGAGGTGAACGGCTGTAAGAGCGCGCAGCCGGTCAACATGACGTCCTGCTCCGGACACTGTGGAAGCTCGTCCATGTGAGTCGATTTATTTTCTGTTTAATCTGCAAACACACTTAGAGAGTTTTCAGCAGATTTATGTATAATTGGTTTGTTTGTTTGTTTGTTATTGTGTTGTGTTGTGTTTGCAACAAGCTGCTACAAACAGCCCCTAATGGGATTAGTAATAAACACCATGTTAGAACAAAATCAACTGTATTAATGATCTTAAAATTATAATGCAGAATTGTTTATGTTCAACTTCCTGACTGCTGACTGAGCTGTTGTCTGTGTATTCATGCAGATATTCAGCAGCAGCTAACAAGTTCATGCACCAGTGTGAGTGTTGCCAGGAGACCTCCACCAGTCAGAAGCAGGTGGAGCTGGTCTGCGCCGACGGCTCCAAGGAGCAGCACAGCTACATGGTGGTGAATGCGTGCAGCTGCAGCAAATCAGAGTGTGTGACGTCCAAACCACAACGCCGCAGGAGACGCTGATCAGTCACTGACCGATTGAACCTGGACTGATTTAAGCCTCATAAACACTATGACTTAACCTTCCAGCTTCTTCTTCTTTGTGTCAGGTTTTATTATTTATAGCCCAACATGTGCTCTTCTTCTTCACTGTCACAACATGTTACTGTGTTGTAAACTTTCTTCATTTTAGGATTTCTTGGATGATAATTATTAAAATTATACTTCTGCAACATGAACACTTGACTCAAGTTTCTTATTGATCCCTGTTGAATGATGAATATTAACACAGAACACAAAATATAACTCTTTGAAGTACATCTGTGTGGATGGAGGACACAAACTAATGTCTGTCTAACACTGGTGTCTGAGAAGTCGTGCGATGGGACTGTCAGTCAACATGAGGTATGTCGCCTCAGAAAGTCTTTCCATTCCCACAGTTAAATACCTGACACTGGGTTCACACTGTTCCCAAAACTATTTCAGCTAAACACCTGAACTACATGTTCTCTGGATTTAAATTCTGTACTTCATGTCTGAAATGTAATAAATTAACATTTCAAAATATGGTAACCAAATCTAAGACCAAAGTGAGTTGAGTTGAAAATAACAGAATCACATGACACAGTAAAATGACTGACATTTTAAGAATCTCTACAGCGATAGTTTTGGAACCAGAAGTGAAAAGTCACAAAGGAGACAACAAATCTAAAATGAACCTTTGGCAGAAAGCACATTAACAACAAGATCTTGAAACCTTCAAGTGTCAATAGAAAGCTTTAACTACAACACACACAAAAACTGTGGCTGAAAAACAACACTTAAAGCTTGTGGTGTTACAAGCTGCTGTACAGCACAGACAGACAACTAGAAAGCACATCTGTTTTCTTTATCTTCATGTACAAGTTTCAACATGATGGTGGCACTAAAGTGAAGGTAGGAGTCGGCTTCTGGGGACCATCAACATTCAGGAAACACTTCATGAAAGTCTGGTCACTGTCATATTAGGCCTGACTGCTCAGAGGGGAAAATATTTCTGAAAACAGCCGTAGATATGTAGCTCATTAAAAATGGATTGAATTACTCTGTTCAGGCTCTTCACTTCACCTGGATAGAAGTGTTTTGGTCTCAAAAGCTACACGACATCCTGCTGAGTTTCAGAACATCTGGATTTCACACTGCATCTTTACACTTGATTAAAAAAGTGACTCCACGGGATTTTTCTTTATAACATCAACTCTTCACATCCTCACTGCACTTTACAAATGAGTTACATCAAAACTGTGTTCTCACTGTGACAGATGACTTAACAGTTCAGTGTTTATTTTCCTCTAAACCTCAAACCCCTCTGGTCATTTGTTCTCAATTCTCTTGTCGCCATGTAGATTTCTATATAATTAAATACTTCCATAATAATTTATCAGATTTCAAATGCACTTTACATTTTACAGCTACATATGAAACAGAAGAAGATCACTGCAGGTTACTACACACGACAGGTTCTCCACACACTAGCAACAACAACATAAACAGGATGGACTCTGAACGTGACTCTGCAGCTCAAACTGTGCAAATCAAATCAGTGTGGAATCAGTGGAAGTGGGGGGGTGGGGGGTACAGTGAGAGATTGTGATACTGAAACAATTGAGAAATAAAAAATGATTTTTACCCATCAAGTCACACTCCTGCCAATTGAATGGTTTGTTTGAGCCTCTACTTAATAATCCTGATTTAAAGTAAATCTGTTGTTGATCTTAAACAGTGACAGTTAAAACCAAAGGTGGAGACAGTTGTTGCGATGCTCTGAGGATCCAGTGACAGACAGCTGTGTGTTAGCAGAGAAAGGCCAGGCTTCATGTACTGTTAGGCCAAAGTCAATAAAGGGAGAGGATGCTGATCTCTGTTGCTACCAGCTGCTGGAGCTGGAGGGAGCTCAGGTGTGGCTGCAGTCACAGCCACACTGTGGGACTTTGTGTGTGTGTGTGTGTGTGTGTGGGAGGGCTGCATGCATACATGTGTGCGTGTGTGTGTGTTGGGATGTCCACTGTGAGCTTGTGTTTTGCAGTTAGAGCTCCTCAGCCATTTGCAGCAGAGAATTGATGGCAGCGTCCTTGTTGCCCTGCTGTGCATCCAGCACAGTGCGAACCACTTCCTTGTCCACGTTGGGGAACATTTCCTGCAGAGCCTTCAGGTCCTCCTCGCTGCACACCGGCCCCTGGACCCCAACAGCTGGCATGGCTGCTGGCATTGCCATGGGCACCATGCCCTGGTTGTAGACTGTAGGCACTCCTAACGGCACAGGACACAAACTGCAGAGTCAGTTTTAATGTAGCAGATGAAAGGTTTGTTGTATATGCGTGTGTGTGTGTATGTATGTGTCTAACCTGCAATGGGCACATATCCGACTCCTTGCTGATACACAGAGGGCATTAGGACGACAGGCTGAGTCATCATCCCTGCTGGTAACGACTGGCACAAAGACACAGAGATGAGATTAAGAGCTTCGCTCCTTCTACTCAATGAGTTTTACCATTTGATTTCTAACAATCCCTGCAGCCTTTGCACTCTACAACCTGAAGTCTTTGGAGGTAACATCCACCCACCAGCAGAGGGCAGCAAAGGAAAAAGTGTGCACTGAAGGGGTCATGACCCTGCTACACACAGTGTGATTGATTCTGGGCTGTTCCACAGGACAGTTGATAGTTGTGTGAGGAACATGGTGAAATATCATTTTAGGGATGTACCATCTCATACATCTGAATGAGGTTCGATATATCCTGTACAAACAACAATAGTCCAGTTTTCTATCAACTTATTGTGTAACAAGTTGATTATCAAAACTTATATCAGCAATAAAATCTGTGTTTTCATTAGTTGGGTGAGCTGTTGCATTTTAATTCATGTTTATAAATCAGCTTTTAGTTCAACATCAGGTGAACTTCACATGATCCCTGTCCTGGCCGCTCTCCATTAGCTCCCAATTCACTGTCGAATAGATTTGAAGGTTCTATTGTTTGTTTTTAAAGCCCTCAATGGGTCCTGGCTTCAAACAATTTTTCTTTTTTTCTTTGATATTTTCCAAAGTCAATAAGAAATTGTGATGATTAATCATGATCTCATGATCGCCATAATTGAGCAGCCCTATTCACACTGAGCACATGTGACAGGTGTGAAAGAGTCTGGAGACACCGTGGTGAACGTTATGCTGCCTGTAACATCATCCAGCATGAGCGGTTTGGGGTTTCCTTGGAGGGTCTCACAGACCTTCGTCATAGCCAACGGTACCCTGACTGGGTCCTGGTGGAGGACAACGCCCGGCCAGAGTGTGTAGGCAGTTCCTGGATGACGAAGGCATTAATGCCATTAACTGGCCCTCTGACCTAAATCCAATTGAGCACCATACACACTACTGAGTCACATTATGAGATGCCGGGATAAAGTTCACACAAGTTGGATCAACCTGTGATTTAAAATTTTCACTTTAATTTTCGCTGTGATTGGGAATCCAGCCCTCAGTGGGTTGATGAATTTGGTTTCCACTGACCGTTGTTACGTCATTTTGTTCTCAACAAATTATACAATGTACATCAGTAAAGATTTTCAACATGAAGAATTCGTTCAAGATAAGATTAATTAAAAAAATTAATCATGTGTGTGTGTATATATACACACACACACACATATATTGTAGGCATTTCTACCTTTATTTTATTTTTGACAGCGAAAGGAAAGACAGGGGAGAGAGAGGATGATATACAGCAAGGGGCCTGATTCAAACTGGGAGCACTGCAGTAAGACATCAGCCTTGATAAATGTTATAATAAATGGTATAGACTTAATCAGATGAGATACCAGTGCACCCGACTACAAATAAAATTAACTTGCATCAGCCTGCACTGCAAATTAAAATGGACTGCACTTATATGTTACTTCTCTACCTTAACAAAGTGCTTTACAATTTGCCTCCCAATCATTTCACACAAACACTAACACACTAATGGCAGAGCAGCCATGACAGGTGCTGGCTGGTCAGTTGGAAAGCATTCGGGGTTCAGTGTCTGTTTAAGGACATTTCAACATGTGGACTGGAGGAGCTGGTTGGACGACCCACTCTGCCTCTGAACCACAGCTGCCTACTGCTACAACAGCAAGTAAACTATCTGCTGGTTAATATTGTACATAACTTTAAGCAATTATGTTTTATTAATCTAACATCTGCAAAGACTGTGATGTGGTCACGTCTCATGACTTCTTCATAAATGTGTCTTTTCACTTGTGTTTACTCCAGTCTGTGTTTACTGTGGTCAGAAGGTAGGACACAAAACCAGAAATGGAACAAACAGGAAGGCAGCAGAAGATAAACAGTTTTGTTTAACAAAAAGTTGAATCTGACCTCTTATTAACCTCACCACAACCAGCTCTGGTCTCAAACCAGATCCAGAGTGGACTTCCTCATTAACATCTTTAACCCCAGGAGTAACTGTGTACAGTGCTGTGCAAAAGTTTTATGCACTAAAAGTAAAGTGAGGATTCTTTAAAATAATGCCATGAATAGTTTTATTTTTACCAGTGAACGTGCAGTAAACAGAAACAAACCTAAATCATTATCATATCAAACCCTTTTCAGTCTGTTTGATCAGGTGTGTGTCAGTGTACTCACAGCAAAAGACATGACCAGGTTGATCATGCCCTCCTTGTCATCGCCCTGCCTGCCACTGAGGCTGAACCACTCATCCACCACGCTGCCCTCCCTCAGGCCTTCAGGGATGGTCACATGTGTCCATGCTATCCTGTCGTCCATGGAAAACGCTCTCTAGACGACACATCAGCAACGACACAGTTAAACAGACAAGTAACTACACGCTCATCAGATCACTGTACATACACATGTAAAAAGGAAGAAACAAAACTGTACTCAGTGTTGCTGTGTGCTGTTTTTATCTCCTCCTCCACCTCCTCACCTCATCGAAGATCTCCAGATAGAAGGAGTCCACCCCAGGAGGCACTGTGCACTGGATCACCTTGTTCCACCGTGGGTTCTTGGCTCCGTTGTGAGCGGTCGGCGTCTCGTAGACTGCGTAGCCCAGTCGGATCCTACAGTACGGATCCATCCGTGTCATGCCATAGTTTTTAGCCAGCTTGGCCTGTACAGCAAAACACGCAAGGTGACTTCAGTGAGGTGATGCATTCGTGTTGGCCGCTGTCAATTAATCTGTGTATTCTCATGTTTTCAGTGAATGGTGGTACATGGTCACATGTAGACAATAAAAACATTTTAATGGGGATTCTTTCTTTTTTCTTTTTCTTTTTTTTTTAAATAGGCTTAAACCATTTCCACTGAAAATTCCTCATTCTGATTGGATGAAAACAGTGGATCAACTTTTATTGACTGGACACATGTCTGAAGATTCTCATCCAGGTCATGGTTATGCAAGATAGGTGTTTGTTTGCAAGTATAAACATAAATGTACCAGTATTAGACTACCTGTAAGACTGAAAACATTGAGACTCAACTAAAGATCATGGAACTAGTGTTATTCGTGTAACCTCTGTCACCAATAGCTTCTCATTCCATGGCAGAGACTACTGCCATGGAATCACAGTGCACAGAGGTTTAGCAGTATAATCGCTTTGTTAGATGTTTGTTACCGAAAAGGAGTAGAGTAGTGAGTCTTGTAGGGGAAAACATGAGCAGCCCTATCACAGTTACTGCTCAGTATTCAGACTTTACTTTTTTGACATTTTGTTATGTTGCAGCCTCACATAGACAGGTGTATGTGTCTTTCCAAATCATGTCCAGTCAGCTGAGTTTACCACAGGTGGATTCCAGTCAACGTGTAGAAACATGTCAGAGATGATCAAGAGAAATGGGAGGAGCCTGACCTAAATTTCAAGTGTCAACGCAAAGTGTCTGAATACTTATGTCAATCTGATATTTCAGTTTTTCCTTTTTAATAAATTTTCAAAAATTCCTAAAATTCAGTTTTGCTTTGTCGTTATGGGATATTGACTGTAGATTGATGAGACAAAAAATGGATGAATGCTGGTAACTAGCAGAACATCTAAAAAAATATAAAGTACTGTCATTCATAATATACCTTAAAAGAAGTACAAAAATCATATCATCCATATTGATTCAAATATTCAGATGAGATCCAGTTGGATTTCTAGTAGCAAAACTGAGCTGTTTACCTGGACCACCGTGATGCTGAGCCGCCCCACAGTGCCTATTGAGCCTCCATACTGCAGTTGCCTGGCTGCCTGGGCGTCCAGCTGCACCTGCTGCTGCTGCTGGGTGGGAGTGATCCGCAGGAAGTCCTGGGGAAGCTCCCCAATATACACCTGAACACACACATACATACACACAGTACATACAGGGATTCAGACTGACAATATAAAGAGGAAGCACACCTGAGACAGATGAGACAGTAGAACAAAGTTAATACACCTTGATATATCACACTGAAACTGACAGTTTCAACTAAAAGTAAACATTTTGATGGTTTTAAGAAAGAATTTGATAAAGAATTTGATCAAATGTCTTCAATACCTTAATTGTCGAGATGTATAAACTAGCTGAACGGAGGAATGATGAGTACATTATTTTACTATTATGGTTATTATTCGGTTTTTTATGTGTATGTTTATGTCTTTGTGTAAGTATACGAAAAAAAATAAAATTAAACATAAAATGGCCATAGGACAATTGGCTGTCAAAAACAACCCTCACATGAATCATGTGAGTCTAAAATCCTTTATCATTATCCTAATGATAAGACCAAGTCCTCAGCATGTGATCAACAGTATGTAGATTGTAGACTGATTTTAGTATCATAGACTTTTACAGAATCACTAGATGCTCTAATAAATCTGTTCACAACCTCCTCATATGAAACTCAAGACTGTAAACTAATTTGGTCTAGAACAGATTGAATAAACAGGCTAATATTCAGAAACTGTCAGAAACTGTTGACTAGTGCAAAACATATGTGTATGGTTAAGTGCCATTTGAAGACACTAGTGATCATGTGAAGGCTAACAGGAGCATAAAGTCCACACTGCACAGGAAATCCACTCACACAGTCAGTATCAGTGAGGAGGAGGACCAGGACAGGGAGGTGCTGCACTCAGGAACACTCAGATCCAATGAGAGCAGATGATGACTGTACTACCCTGACTGAAGACCAGCACAGACACTTTAACTCACTGTGGACCACCCGAGGCCCCTCAATGAACTGTTCAACAAACAGCCTCAGAAAGCCGCTCCACTCATGTTTCTGAAGTTCAAATTAGGGTCTGCATTCAACAATTTTCGTAAAGCAACAATCCAACATGCACACCCACTTCACACAGTGACTGGCCAGGTGTGTGGAGAGAAGAGAGTCAGCAAGGTTTGAAATTCTCTGTCAAGCTCTCGTTTCATTCATTTCACAACTATTTCTGTCACATGTGTACAAACAATTCATCACTATGAATGTCATGGTCCAGAAATGTAAATCAACAGCCCCATATTAAAACAATTATAGCTCCTTGCTCCTCTCTATGACAGCTGCTTTTCACTCCACATCAAATTTGGTTGTCGAAAATGACATGGTCAGATGACACGTCATATAAGCTAGTTCTTTTCAGGTATAGCTCAGCTGTTACATGGCTGCACTGTCAGAACATCTAGCCTGAGTATCCACAAGGGGTCAACAGTTAATTCAAACCACTCAACACATGAAGATCTCTTCTTCTAAAGACAGGACATGTGACAGCTGTGGTAAACACCACATCAGTAAGGACCCTGAACAAGAGACTGAATGAACACCAGAATCCACTGTCTGTGAACACCAAACCAACACTGCTCACAGAGCAATGGCATGAGGTCAAAGGTCATCGACCAGGAGTTAGTGGAAAGCTGGAGAATAATCGAGCCAACAAAGACCATTTTTGAACAGAGACAGGAGTTACAATCTCCCCCCACATACAATAACCTGTAATCACATGACTGAAGCCAAATCAGTTTACAACTAACTGAGTAAACTCCATCCACTGATGACAACTGTGACATCAACTGAAATGTCATTGTTCCCAAGGAAAAAAATGTCTTGCAGCCAAGTGGAACACAAAACACAGTGACACAGAATTGATCATAAACATAATACATGTGATGTGATCAGAAACTCTAGATTATTTGAGTTAGGATTATTTCATCAAATGAATAAATGTCCAATGTCAGGATGTGGTTGGGATATAAAGATGCAAACCTCAGCTCAGAGTAAGGCCTGCAAACACAGGGTCAGAGGCAGATGGTGACAGATAGCTGATGTCAAGTTATATGCATTTCTTATTATTCTTATTAGCTCTAAGTTGTTGCATATTTTTTCAGTGGCAATACCACCAAGCACCAAGCACAAATTTATGCAAGGCTGCATGATCATTCTGTACAGAAAAGAAAAAGATACAGATACTAGCGAAGAGGCTTAAATGTATAAATATAAACATTATTTGGACACATTTTATAGACAGAGTTTTCATTTACTTTTTTTCAAATGTGTTGAAACTGCAGGGAAAAGTACAAAGTGAACATGCAACTTGTATTTAATAGGTAATTCATGATGAAACACATCATTATCTATTTGGCCACTGAATTCAGTCTTCACTTGATTTAAGAGACATGGATGTGGTGGGTTCACACCTGATCTGTTGGTGTCTGTGATGAAGCTTAGGACACTATAACGAATAAGTTCTTTTTTGGGGCTTTTTCTAAAAGTTACATTTTCGGGCTTTTTTATGCCTTTATTGTATTTATTGAGAGAGACAGGAAAGTTGGGGGGAGGGAGAGGGAATGACAAAGGGCCGCAGGCCGGACTCTAACCCTGGCCGCTGCGGTTAGGACTAAGCTTTAATGGAACGTGCTCTACCAGGTGAGAGCCCCTCTGTTTACTTTTTGATATATAAAGACATGGTCCATGTATCTGATTGGCTGATGTATTTGCCAAATGATAAAATATTATAGGAAGCAAAAAACTAAGAATGTAATATTCAAAATGTCTTGGTTTACATGATAAGGTATAATATTAAAGTCACATTAACAGTCACATGGGAATTTTGGAATTATATTTCATAGATCCAGATTGGGAATATTTTCTTGGTGTAATGTAGTAGCATTAATCAATGATAACATGACATGTTATCACACAGGGATCACAAATTCAGGTGTATGTTCTGATCTGTATTTGAAATGACAGTAAAAGCAGAAGGGAAAAGACAGTGGTGTCTTGTACTTATTCGGTTAATCACTCATCAAGCCATTTACTCAGTATGTACCCCTGTACTCTAATCTACTCGGATCTCAAACACGTCCTCAGTCTTGGGTACGTTCAGGCCTCTACCGATGACTGTTTGTGATCTGATCACCTGAGACGGATGTTAATACCAGGTCTCAAAGGGACTTATAATTCCATCCATAAGTAACACACATGACAGAATGTATGACTATTTTGGTTTTGGGTTTCAAATACTTTCCGTAATAAAACATCTAAAAGCAAAAATCTTATCAGATGAGGGATGAGATCCATCGTCTAATTTGTGTCAGTTTAGGGGTCGTTGATGTGAGATATTTTGAACCACTGCTCTAACTCAATGACTACGGTTTCTTCTAAAGTATTTGGTAATGCTCAATTAAAGTACTCCACCCACCTCTGAAGACTGCCTACCTACTCCTAAACTGACAGGCCGTATATTTAATTTTTATAACAAGATAACGTGGTGGTTGTTGAATTTACAACCATTACTCTGAATCAGAGCCGTTATCTAATGTCAATAAACCGCTACAGCAGCTTAATCCGAGCACGAGCAGCTGTAACGGTTTATAGATGTTAAATCCGCAGACTACTAGCTAACACCATCTAACATTAGCTTGTTATATTTAAATGTCATTACTGTAAATGTCCTCGCTAACGGAAGGTAGTAATGTCATTGATGTAGGCCGCTGTGATAACTCTACGTTGCTGTTTAATGACTGAAGTTAGTTAACTATCAGAGATGTTGTTAAACTACATTCAGCTAGTTCCGCCTTTAGCTGTCTGTCAACAAACCGAACTGACACAAAGCCCGTCACGTACCTGTCCCCGCTGAGTGCTGATGGTGGTCGCCATGTTGTCCCTTCAACGTCTGCGGGGCTGGATTCTCGAGTCTTCTTTAATCACAAATGTACCTCTAGCAAATTAAATAACAACACACAAGTGCTCGGATTAGTGTTGACCCGGAAGTTTCAATTTTTTTTTTTTTTTTTTATCTTTATTTTCAGAACAAATGCAAACGGAAGTTCCCTTGGAGAGTTTTTTTTTTTTTTTTTTTTTTTTGAGGAATAACTAAAAAATAAATAATAAATAATAAACGTAATAAACAATTATATATTTAAGAGAAAAAATATATATATTATAAAATTATAAAAATATAAAATTATAAAAGGGACAAAATAGAGATCAGTCAGGTATTAAAGTGTACATATTTTTTATATAATATTATTTCATTTAAATAGGCATCAAATATTGGTGTTGTTTTTAAGAAACGGCATTTATGTATAAAATATTTTGCTAAAAGTATTAAATTTTCATTTCCAAACTCAATTTTTTTGTTTTCCAATTAAGACCAAATTTTATATTTTTATGTTAGAGTTAAAATAATGTGATTATTACATGTTATCCAATACTGGAAAGCTTCCCAAAATGTCCTGGTTAAATTACAATTTAAAAAAATTATGACTTACAAAGGCTCTTGTGTAATAACCGCAGAATACATCAACATGCCTTTAATTAAAAGAATAAAATCATGAGGGATTGCTTTAATTACTGTATTATATTGCCTGTTAGTACATATCAGATTATATTTACAGATAAAATTATCATATGTTAAGAAATTACAGCAACTATCCAATAAATGTATAATCGACCAAATACCCCTCTCCATCCATTCTTTGAATAAAAAAGATTTTCTTTTGATTCATACATTTCTACTATTCCAAACTGGGACTGGGTGTGGGGTAAAGTTGTGCTTGAAAATAAGTTTCCAGTATTGGAGAACCTGTTGATGAAAAGCTGATAGTTTGACAGGTAGTTTAGGAATATCAAAGTCGCATCTTAATAAGAAATCTATACCACCAAATTTCCTGAAGATTTTTGAAGGGAAATCAAACCAGAAACTCTCACCTTGTCCCATGTAATTTTGTAACCATTTTAATTTAATGGTACCATTCATTGGATCAAAGTCAATAGCATTTAGACCTCCTTCCTCAGCAAGTTTCACAATGTCACTTCTCCTTAAATTCCCTTGGAGAGTTTCTGAGCCTAATCCAACAAGAGGAATCTAAAAAATAAAAAATATTCCAATAACTGAATCTTAATGTGAAATATCAAATTTATGAAGAACAGATTTAAATAATCTTCAATATATTCAATATATTCAATATATCTGCATGTATTGAATTTCTATTTATGAATTATATGTACATATAAAATAAGAATGTAAAAATTATATATAAAACCTATTAGAAATTGGAACAATTTCATATTTTGACATATAGATCTAGCCCATACAAAGAGGTATGTTTGTGTATGTATGCTTATATTGTAGAAATATGTTACATAAATATTAGGATATAAATATAGGTCCAAAAGTCTTAGACCACTTTCCCAGAATGAGAAAATAGACATGTTTAAAATGAACAAGAAACATATTAATAATGTATATATGTATATTGTTAAATAAACTTGCATATATACATTAAATATATATTGTTAACATATATGGTCATAAAAAATGTTATACTATATAGAAATTCATTATATAGATAGTTTTAATATATGTATATATATAAATTTTAGTTATGGGGATTTCATATGTCATATATACAGAGTATGTTTGTATGTGATAATATATATATATATATATATATATATATATATGTACATATATATAAAAAACCCTTTATAGGTGACATATACGGCAACATCACTCGATATATAATTATGTACATCATATATCTAAGATCCAGTCCTCTTGTATTTTATTGGCTATAAAACAAAGTATGAGTGTTGTGGATTACTGTATAGTGAAGACACCGACAGTGCCTATCATACAGAAATACAATGCAAACAGAAAACACAGCAAATATGAATGTTTCTCAAACGTTTTATTTGGACAGAAACCAAACCAACCAATCAACAGGGGTCACATAGCTGGCTCACAGACATGACAGCTGGATTCACTGCAGCTTCATGTGGCACAGAAAGCAAAGATCCAAACCTTAAAAACAACCCACACAGTGGAGACATAGATCCAACCTAAAGAAAAAAAAACTAACAGGGGGTTAGTTTCAGCAGTGTCTCATATTACAATCGCAACAATGGGAAACTCAAAAAAACAAAAAAACTAAACAAGAACAAAAACAAACTGCATTTACTTCAGTGCAATGGAGCAAAAGGCAACTTCACAGAAATACTTCAAAAGGCTTCATCAGGAGTTTGGTCAGAGGTTTTACCTTAAAACAGTTTCAGTCTCAGTGTGCAGGAACACGCTCGCTGTTGATTATCCAAAAGTGAACACTGTATAATACTGAATCCAACCCTGTTACATGAGAGGAAGACCCACTGAAATGAAGCAGAAGCAGTGGGAGCACAGCGCACAACACAGACTTCACTCACTCACAAAAACCCATCATTCATTTACCTCGCCAACTTGACTCATTTAAGGTGTAAACTATTTATCTTTAATGACTGAATCAAAGGGCCACATCAGTCAAATCTAACTCCTAACTATGTTTATATATAACTAAACTGCATTTTTTAATATAATTCCATAAAATAAACAAACATTTTTGATAAAAAAAGATCCTTTAAATTTGGTCATGAAACAATTGTGACCAAATCATGTACCGAGTGGAACATTCACAGTGTTAAAAATACAACTAAAAACTAAAACTAGCACATATATTGGTTGGACTCGAGTTTGCATCTTAATATTTGCAGTAACAAATACTGGAAGTACTCCTTACAGTGTACAGCTGATATGAAGGACCTGTCCATCTAAAACAGGTACAGATGAAATGTCAATGTCAGGACATCGTGCAAGTCAAAAGTATCGTGCGTTAGTATGTATTATTTGGAAAGAGGAGTTTTGCAGTGGACAGTGTATCATAGGTCTAATGGTTGTGAGGATAAAGTGCATGAATATAATTTTGATATATAATTAGTGCACTTCTTTTCCTGAATTGTTTTTTTTAGTTTTCATGTTTTTTCTTGCTGCTGGTAGAACAAGAGTAATATATGTCTTGAGAAACAAACGCTCACCAGAGCACAAAAGTTTCTTTTTCCTTTCTCATCTGTAATATTTACCTGTGTGGCCCTTCCAGGCCTCTGTAGTTTTTCCATGTTTCAGGTAACAGGTAAAGTTAATGTATTGAGACATCTGACACTCTTGAGTTATGCGATCAATGACTGGACGTTCTAGCTTCATCTATTGTCGCTGACATGGTTTTAACACTGTGTTGTGAGAGAAACATGGTTTCTCTACATTACTGAACATCAGAACTCACACAACCATTAAAACAGATGTGATGGATGAGCTGATGATACACTTTACAAAATCCATAGTGATTGAACACATGATTTAGAGTAAACTGGCAAAAACTGAGGCTGGTACTACTAGTTGCATCAGTCTGCTTGTTTATTATATTTATTCATTTTTATATATTTATTTTGATCATAACACAGACTGCTGACAATTTTTGTATTTAAGAAATGATTAGTAGGAAAACATGTTTATGTTCTTCTAAGTGAGGAACTGGTGAGAGTATATAGTCATTTTATTAATTACTAGAAACACTGTTATGATATATTTGTTTGGAGATTATTCTGCAACACTTTTTTTCTTAAAAATAAAACTACATTTCCTAATAAGATTTCTGGGGAGATTTACAGTAGATCTTAGACTGTTATTTGAGTTCAAGTTTAGTTAGTAAATATTTATGCAGTATTAATTTCATGACCTTTGGATTATAAGGTTCTGTCTGTGATCTGAGAGGATCTGAGTGGCTCAAAGTTTTCACATCTGAGAAAATCATCTTTTTTAAATGTGTTTTTTAAGATCAGATGAATTAAATTTTCCTTTTGGAATTAGGAGACTTTATCTGCTACAGAAAGCTACAATTGTGTTAAACAATGCTGACAGTTTGTGTTACTTTGTTTTACTGCACTAAATCAAAATATTACTTCCTGAAGTTTGTTATAATAGATATTTAGGCACAGAACAATTTAGAAGTAAACATGAGAACATTTGTTCACATCATATATTTTCACTCACAGATATGGACCAGTAATATAATTCATAAAGTTGTACTAACAGTATAATTTAGAACAATATAAAATATGTAAATCCTCTATTCCTCCTCTTCTATTTCTGATATTTTCTCTTGTTGTTCTGTTTGCTACTGTCCCTCTGCTGCTTTCTTTTCTGCCCCAAAAATCAGCTTATACTTGATTTGGGATACTGATTGGTGCTTCACAGGTTAAGTTAAAGATTGATTTCTGCGACAGACCTTTTTCTTTTTTTTTCAGATTTCAGGGCCATAAATGCACCAAAGTCAAAATAAACCTACACAAAATGTTAATAACTTATACACTGCATGTGAATAGCACCATGTAATTCTATGGTCACAAATTATTATTGGGGATTTTATTCTCCATGTTGAATTGTTTTGTTCCCTATAAACAAATTTTACATTTTAGCTAAGCTGCCCTGAAAAGGAAGGAAATAACTGATTTAAATTGTACCAACTGAACTTGTCTTCCCATTTTCCCCCTAACTTGTACCAAGTTACAAGGTTCTGACGAGGAGCCCTGCTATGGATTTAGAGTTACGTTTCAGTTTCAGTCTCTGACAGTGTAGGAAACTGTGGGACTTGTAAAATAAAGATTTTTCAAATATTCAAGCAGGATGAGAACGTGGGTGAATGATCGATTACACTCGGTACAAGCCACAACGTTGGTCCACTGCTCAGGAAAACAGGCCGACTGCAGCCTACATGAGTGTGGGTCTCTAGGGATTATACTCACAAACAGACAGTATACACACTACTGATTTAACAGGTCACTTGTGTTGAGTTTCATATTGGTGTGTGAGCACTCTGGGTCCACACAAAACTAATGTAATGTTGCAGCCAGTCGACTCGACATATTAAAGCTGCTGTACACAACGCCACCTGCCACGCCTACACCTGCTCTTACAAATGAAGCAAGTCCAAGAAAAGGGGAAAATACTGATTGTGCAAAACATTTGGCACCAGTTTATTTGTTTTTAAGTTAACACAAACTAGATCACAGTTTACCAAGAATTTCACTGTGGATATATTAAAAGAAAAAAAAAAACATAGAGGCTAAATATACCGTGACAAAAGTCTTTCCCCTGTGGATTTTATGTCTAATTTTCCACACAGGAGATAGAGCAGATTGTGGTGGTGAGTTGACAGGCTGAAATTAGAAACTGAATTTTTTTTTTTTTTACACTGACATTAAATGCTTCCTCCTCATAACATCACTCAAAATGTGAACTCCCAAAGATGAACTCACGCACAACATCGTCTGGAGACAGATTAGCTGCTGTCACACACAAAAAAACCACAACAAAACCAGAGGATGGGGGGCACTGGGAGGACTGCTCCACAACACAGGAGATAAAAACAAAGTTAAAGCTCAGACTCAAACTGATTTCGCAAAAAATCTAGTGGTTATGTGAGTCAGTTCTAGAAAAATAGATTCTCTTATTTGCTTGTAATAAGTCTAATGTGACTTTCAAACATATTCAGTGGCAGTCTTTCTAGTGCCCCTGCTGACAACACAGAGGACATACAGGAAACAACAAAACAAAACTTCATCAATGTCAAACACAAGGTCAAAGGTGAAATTGGAAGCATCAGAGAAGCGCAGGAAACACAAGGACTGGACGATGAACTGTGACGCCACATCAACATGCTAGGGCAAACAGGAAGAGATCTAGAAAAAACAAAAAGAAAAACACAACAGGGAGACAAACCTAGGTTAAACAGCAATGGAACACAGACAGGAGAAGAGAAAAGAAACCAAGAATGATTATCTTTGTGTGGGGTTGAATTACAGTCTAAACACTCAACAGTCAACAGTGTCAACAGGGACAGAGTGAGGACGAGTGTTACCACAAACTGAAGGTGGATGACAACAAAGGCAAAACACACACACATAAGACAGCCTAAATAAAATGGCAGCGCAGAGTCAGTGACAACATGCAGGTCACAGAGATCTGGATCAGCAGCTACAGTCTAGCACAAAAAACAGCTCATCACATACAGAGGCTCCAGAGGACCAAAACTAATCTGTCATAATCAGTTATCATTAACTGTTTACGGCATGTAAATGATGCAATTAAAAAAGCTATAAAAGAGTAAAATGTTTCATTCAACATGCGACTTCATCCGTTTTCAAATTTGATTTTCAAAAATGTATTTTGAGTCCCATACAACAAGTTTTAATTTAACTATTGTGCAAATGACATTAATTCATCTTAGGTTTCTGGATGTAATTCATCTATCAATAAAGCACTTAGTCACTAGTTACCATTCATTTCTTTGAAGATACGAAAATATATTAGTAGGCTCTTGAAATCTGTGAATTGTGCAGTCGAATCCCTGTGAGCATCAACTGATTGATTTTTGTCACAGTTACATTTTTGTTGCTTAGTAACACAGTTTTATCACAGATTAATATCGATAGTCTACATTGATTGACTCAAAAAAATGCAACTTTGACAAAGATTATAGGGGCTACTTGTAAGTTGTCTCTTGATGGGAGATTTCTCTTCAGGCCAGATTGGAGGCTACAGTGAGTCGCTCTTGGAAAGTGACGAGATGGGCCCGGGCTAGCTGGTTAGCATGCTAACTTCAGTAGAAGAAAAGACGTGATAAAAACAAGAATTAACATTGGTGTTTGTTTCCACCTCTGGAGACAGCTGTTGGTGAGCAAAGGTATGAAGTTTGATTCTGAACTCACAATGTTTTTTTTCTAGACTGGTAAATAAACAGCTGCTAATGCTAACATTAGCTATGTAGCAATAGCAAAACTTAGAAATAGCTCCTTTAAAGCGGACTTGATGGTCATTCTGTTGGATTAAACCATATGGGCAATTTCTATAGTTTGTGATTTGATTGCTATAAATAAATGAATGAAAACCAAAGTCCGTCTAGAACTGAAGCAAAAATACATCTGAAACTACCCAGCATGCAATTGGAAGTATACATGATTTGTACTTAAGAGATGTTAACTTTCTCTTTTAATTTACACATAGCTGTTCTTATCATATTCCAACTGGCATTTGGTATGTCTCCTGATTTATATCTGAAAGCTTAATTTTACCCACAATCCAAAGCAGAATTCTGGTGACGTTCTTTATATAATTAACAAATCCCACACAGACCTGAACCAACAGTGAACTCATCAGTGAGACACACTGTTGCACTGGGTGAGAGATTTGTTCATCACCATGAACACACACCCTGTAGTTTATTATGACTAATTCCCACATACACACTGCGCTGCTGCCTAAAACACTCACTACAGCAACAAATGTGGATTAATCCACAGCTGAAAATAGTCCTGAACAAAAACTATTTCCTCCTGTTTGAGTAACATCTGCCAAAATCTAGTCACGAAATTGCTGAGCCTGTTTTAAACATTTGTGAGGTTTGTATAAGATTTACATCTTCAGTAGGAATCAATGGGCTTGGGGCTGAGAACCACAGACAGTAGGGAAGTCACAAAGTATTGAGAGATGGACTGACACACATTAAGGGTTTTGGTCTTTTAACAGATATTTTTTTTTTTTACTTTATGTCTCTTTCAGTTCAAGACTTTTAGCCAGTGTTCCACAGTAAAACTTAAACAAGGTATTTTCTGGGCACCTCTCGTGCAGAAAACATTAAGGCAGAAATGTCCCAGTTCAGTGGCTGTATGCGACAAAAGAACTATAGAGACAAAAAGTGGAGGTGAACTGAGGGGATCCTTGTTAACTTATAAAACATATCACCAGGAAGTTGCCCTTAAATGGCTGATGTGTTAATAGCAGTGGTGAACTTGAAAAAGCAAAAGCTGCTGTAATGTTTCACTTCATAACAAACACGTATGAGCTTAGTGGTAACTGTATCAGTATAACACCTGTTTATCTGTAACACTGTGTAACGTGGTAAACTGTATCCTGACAGTGGAGTTTATGCTTTGCTTCCATCCTGCAGCATTTTTTCAGTCACCCAGTTCATGACCTCACCACTATTACTCATCATTAAAGACTTGTTTAATTTTCACTGTGCAAACCATAAAGCTTGTATTTTGTCTTATAGATATATAGAGACAGAATGGAACAGCGGTGTTAAAGCACAACACAGCTGGATCAGCTATGACGACAAAGTCCCTGATACATGATCATGGTTTTTGTGCAATAGTGAGAATGATTTTTGTACAGTATACAACATACCAAGAAACTTCCAGCAACAACATAACATTAAGTAAGTGGGACAACATCACACAAGACACAGTGACTGTCAGCTGCTGTGACATGGGTGACCCAGCAACAGGGAGAGAATCTGTCTGACCGTCCCACTACAGACGACTCAGTCTATGGACTAGGATCTGGAATCCCTTTTAATACTACCAGAAATACACCCAGGACTTCACCTGGTGCAAAGCTGCTGACAGCACATATAGGATGGCTATTTATTCATACAGAGAGACAGGACCCACAGGCACACGTTAAAATGGACTTATAGAATAAACTATGCTCCCTGTGTTTTTGGAAAATGATTTATTCAGATGGAGGCATGTATGACAGAGAGGGGTTCTGTAGCAGCACTGATGGATCCTACACACACAGTCCATGCCACACTGACACATAGTACACATCACCAAAAAGGAAACAACGCTTAACAGGCAAAGAGAGGACACACACCAGGAGATCAAATGGAGTTGTTGGACTTCACATTTGTCTTTCAAAATAATTTCAATAATTTCAGATAAATAATTTAGGCAATAAATAGTTCCCCAACACACAGGGGAAGTATAAAACCTATATAAAAATAGAAAAGGCATAAGTTTAAATATACATCTCAACAATTGTCTTGCTTCCTAGTTCTATTAAAAAACACGCACACACACACGCACACACACACATACACACGATTTTCTGGTAGTCTAAGCAACTAACGCGTTTGTCTTGAGCAAATTTGACATTTATATGAATTCTCCAATCACAGAAGATATTCAGTGAGAGACATAGTGGTGTAGCCCTCTGTAGATTAGCTAGCCGCTAACTAGCAGGACAGTAGCTGAGGGTTGTGATAAATTTTTACAAATCACCTGGATTCAAAGTCGAAACTAACTAAAACCATAAAATGTGTATTTCAGTGAGGCATTAAATCTCCGTTAGACAGACTCTAAAATCAAATCTATGATGTCTGGGCTTTTTTATGCCAAACTTCACTGCGTTGCTAGTTACAACTGGCATTTAGGCTTCACAGCCACATCAGGCTGACCTTTAACCTGTCGCTCAGAGTGCAGCAGCACAGGAGGAGCACCACCAAAACATGCTGTATTCAGTTTAGTCTATACTTACATGCAATTTTAACAGTATTAGAAATTTGTTTTACTAACCTCCAGATAAAAAAATACAATAAATGCAATGAGGAAACTGCTTAACAGACAAAAATCAGTTCCAGCCGATGTTTATGTACAACCCAACCAATGTGCAGATGTGTATCCATCCATTTAATGATGACCAGTTGGATATAAACAAGCATTAATGTGTCATTGTGTTTAGGTGTAACTCACACACAGGTGGGGGTCCTGTCAGACCACAGAGCTCAGAGGACACCAGGTTCTATCAGCAGGAGGGTTATGGGAGTTTGTGGGTTGGAGGTTAAATCTGACTTCAGTGACTTTAGCTCAGAGTTGAAACAGCAGAGAACAGGAACAAGCAGTCACTGATTAACACTGTGCCCTCACAACACTAACACTTACAAACACAGCCACGCACACACTCAGTATGAGGACAGTTATGTCAATATAGTTGCATGTTTTGGTGGAGCTCCTCCTTAAAACAATCTGAGCTTCTGAACGTTACTTTAACAACTAATTTTGGTGTATCTGACATACACGGTTTCCATTTCAAGAGATAATACAGATAACTGATACAAAAGTCGGGGAAACCACACATTTGGTTTGTGAAAATGTAAAAAGAAAAGTGACGATTTCTGTTTTCTAATCAAATGCAGCTGTCTTTTGCAGCTGCTTCCTGCTGCCAGGAGCTTTAGCTGAGTCTGGGCGGTGGTGGGGAACAGGAAGTAAAAACTGATGGATTTGGCACCTGACTGTCAAAGTGCAACATATCCTAACAATTAACTCATATGTTTATTATGTACCACAGCAAACTGATAACATTTCAACTTAAATTAAAATACACCTGTTTGTCTTATTTGTTAAAATGAAAACAAAGTGCATAAACCACAACAGAACACAGGAAGAATCCAGTCTAGCCCAAAAACTCTTGCATGTAGCTTCATGTGTCTCTTTGCCTGGACATGTTACAGTGACCAGGAGAGGCAGCGCAGCAGACATCACCCTGTAATGCACAGACAAGTTTCTGTGGACCAGTCTTGGTTATTCATACTCCACTTACCATAACACCACCCTGCCTAGCTAAGTCTGCAGTGCCTCAGCACCTTCAGTAGGGCTTGCTGTCATTCTTTGAGCGCTTCAGCTGCACCTTCAACCTCTTCATACCGATCTGGAAACCATTCATTGACTGGATGGCTGCTTGTGATGACACGGGGTTGTCATAGCTCACAAAGCCTGAGGGAGAAATACAAACATTCACAATATTTTGAGATGGATTCAAATAGTGCCTCAGGGAAGATTATTGCAAATGAAACAAATCTTTATCCACCAGAGTTTGAACTATGAAAATGGTCAAAGCAAAAAAAGATGAAAGTAACCAAACGCCACTAGCTCCCGCATTTAAGGACAGATTCACATTTTTTCTGCCTGTCTTTAAACAATCAGTCAGGTGTCTATATGTACATGAAACATGTTTTGATTGCTTTACTCATTTCTCTCGTCCACACAGGCCCTAAAGAGTTCTTGTCTTACAGGAGCTATTTGTATTTCTCTGCTGCTAAACATAGTTTCTTATCAGGAGCAGGTGGTGGTGATTGTCATTTCACAAGAGCTTCAGCCATTATTGCGTTTACAAGACAAGAAGTTATAATATGCCCTTTCAACAGCGCTACATCTTCAGGGCAGATAGGAACCTACAGTGAGTTGCTATCTGAAAGCGATGATGGACGGGCCAAGGCTAGCTGGTTAGCATGCTAACTTCAGCAGAAGCAATGAAGTGATAAAGACAAGAGTTAACATTGGTGTTGCTTTCCACCTCTGGAGACAGCTGTTGGTGAGTAAAGGAATGAAGTTTGTTGCTGTACTCACAATGTTTCTTCTAGACTGGTCAGTAAAAAGCTGTTAATGCTAACGTTAGCTATGTAGCAATAACAACACTTACAAATTGTTTCTTTACAGCAGTATCAGTGTAAATGATGGGGTTTCAGAGTCCTTATTTTGTGGAAAAATACATTCTGAACTTAAGCTTAAGCTGCAATGTGAGGCTGATATCCATATAAATGATACTCAATTTTGGAATATACCATTGCATAGAATGAGGATTTTGTCCCCATCATTTATATTGAAAGTGCATTAGGCAAGGGTTTTTTAATGTCTAGTTAGAACGGGAGAAATAACCTCAAACGAAAATTGTTTCAGTGTACATACGTGACTGCTTTTTGAAGATTGTTTCTGAAAATGTCTCCATGAATAATCAAACTACAAATACTAAACCAGGTTTTAGGCAGTTTCTACTCCCAGACTTGTTTTGCTCCAACAAGCTTCAACAAATCAAACGTGAACAACCCTTTGTACACAACTTGCTAACCATTTGAAATATGCTTGTTGGTAGAGCACACTACTGGAAAAGTGTGCTTACTGATGTCACAACGCTGTCAATAATTTCTATTGTCCTCATTACCATTATTTCAATATTTTTCAAAGGTCTTCATGAAAACAACTCCGCCCCTTCGGTGGAGCGCTTTTATTTTGCTGAGGGTGTTAACGGTTTACCGATTTAACAGACACAGCCACACCAAAACCACCAAAGTGGGCTGGGAGTAGAATAACAACAGCAGAAAAACAGGCAGCTGTGCAACAGTGACGAGGTGTGTAGAGGTGCAGGCAGGGGTAGTGGCTTGTAAGAGCTCAATTTAACTGTTCTAAAAGTCATCACCATTATGATCTTTTAAAAGTGATTTTTGAACAATAACACCACAGAAGAAATAAGAACATGTATGACACCTTAAATGGTCCGTTGACTGCAAAAGTATAGTTGTTGTTAAAATCATAGAAATGGCAGCAGTGATTTTGCTCCTGAAACAGACGCAGTTCTGAGGCGTCTATTTTCAGTGCAAGGTCATTTCCACCAAAATACTAACAACTCACTTGGCACTCTGAATGAACCCGAATAAACCTGCCTCCTGTTTGCACCTCTCTGCCCACCTGTGCACCATGCACGCTGCACCAAAATACCACACAGACCAATTTAAAGGTCAGGAAAACAACTATGGGCGTACTGCTTGTGCTGGTTGTTACAAGATCCTGTAGCGACTGATTCATATCATTTATTGATCATAAGAGGGATTATTAACAGTAGTCGATGTCAACTCACCAAAGCACTTGCTGAGGTTTGTCTGTTTGTCAATGAAGACTTTAGCAGAGATGACATTTCCAAAGGGCATAAACATCTGGAGCAAATCCTGGTCCCCGAACTCCTGGGGCAGGTGGTAAATGAACAAGTTGGCACCTTCTGGACCTGTCAATCAACAAGTCTGTTTTACCAGTCATACAAACATTAAACACAGGGATATTTTAACAACTATAACAATTTTTGACTCAATAAATTCATCTAATTCTTCCAGTTATGGTCCTGATCAAATTATGTTTCAAACAAATGCTGTAACAGCTGTATCATGTGGAACTCCCCAGAGCCCATGTGATAGAAAAAACAACTGATGTGGAAAATCAATACCCAGGAGACTAAACAAACTGTTTAACCCATGTAAGCAGACTGGTAAACTGAGAGCATGTGCTGCTAAACCGTTTCAGAAGAGGAGTCTCTGTCTACAGCCACATTGACAGTAAATATATTTTAGACTTGTTTTGCAGACACACACTCATTTAGATGTGGTGGCTGATGTGATAGCTTTACCTGAAGATGGCAACCATTTGTTTCTTCTAACTTTCTCTGATCACTCCTCTTAAATATCTCTACAGCCAATCTATAAAGCACATAAAAATGAGCCTGGCTATAAAAGCTGGTCATCACGGTATTTATGAGCCATCAAATTTCATTCTTTATTTGTTGTCTGAGAACACAACATGAATATTTACAAAAATATCTAAGTGAGAAAATCTAGATTGTGATGTCTGCTCCATTAAAATATAGGTCACAAAGTTTACCAATCCAGATTTCCACATTAATTTTTTCTTCTACCACATGACCCTGTAGCGGCTGTGATGTCATATAAGACACTGACTAAAAAGAAATAAATATAAAATAAAACAAGTTGAGTGAGAATGTGTGAGAAGTGGGAGTAACATAAACACAAGGACAAGCCTTCTGTTATGGACTTGAACTTGTTTTAAAGCGGAGCTGTTGACATAATGATCTGAGGCCATGTCAGAGAGAAAGTGGGGACGTCTTACCGGTGCTGTGACTGTTGCTGGCTGACGCAGCATATTTAAAACAAGACAGAATCCTTAGCAGAAGGTGAGAGCAACACACGGCACACACACATTTCTTCCAACCTGCCTGCAACACTATCTTAAACCTGGTATCAAACAACTGTGGAATTTCCCCTCATTCAAAAACCATTAGAGGTCAGTCTGCCCCTCTTAGCCGTCTTTCATTTACCTGCAGAGGAGGTGGCAGCCCATTTAACAGGTCAGTTTTTAAGAAAATATGCACATTAAGAGAAGTAATCTACACTTTAGCTCATATGTTTTTTAATCTATAGCTCTTTTTTGTTGTTGTTTTTGTACAGTAGTTTGGGATTCTGGTTTTCCACACTCATACAGTTAAGTTTTTCTCAAGAAACGTGTCCATTTCTGACACTGGTTATGATAAATACCCCGCAGCTCTCTCTGCTCCCTTTACACTTGCTCCCTTTTTCCACTCCCTCGGGACCCACCTTCTTTTTGGCTGCCTGCAGCTGACACGCTCTGCTGGGGCAGCAGACTCTGGTTGTACAGACTGGGGATGGCGGCAGCAGCAGCATACTGCTGGATGCCTGAGTAGGCCTGGCTCAGGGCCTCCATGGTGTTTCCTGAGCCGTTAGACAGGCCTCCAGAGCTAAGGCTGCCGTTCAGTGCTGCCATGCCTGCGTCAGAGATACAGAAAAACAGAAATGACATGAGTGAAAAGATCAGGTCTCATCATTCAAAGAAATGTTGACCTCAACATGATAACAGTCAGAAGTAGAGCAGTAACAAGAGTGTTTATTCATTTATAGAGATCAATTAAAGCTTCTGTCTGGAAAACTAGTCGTGAGAGTGAATAATAATAATGAATTATTTATAAACCTGTGAAGATACTCTAAGACACTTTACATAACAAATTAAATGACAGAACCTAGAAAACTAAAAAAACAATACAGGCTCAAGGTATAACTTCTGAAGGAAACACTGCTGTTCCTGCATGCTAGATTACACAGGATTTATCATTGTTTTTGAGCTGTATCAAATCTTTTACTGACTTAGATACAGCGTGGATACTTAGTAGTTTTACTGTTGTTTGTTCTTGTCATTATTTTCTTTTTCCCCTTTGTCTTTGATTTTAATTTACATTATTGTTTTGCATCATGATGTAATGTTTACTTGCATGGTACCCAGGAAGAGTAGTTGCTACCTTGGGATCCAAATTGAATTGAAATTGAAATCAGCAGGGGCCACATAAATATCTCTTACAGCTAAATAATAAACACCTGGAGGGAATGTGTCTTCATACTAGTGGTCTCCAGTGTGAAGTCTAACTGTTGCACTGGCAACATTGAAATATGAGAAACCACATATGTGCCCGATGGCAAATACATGAAGCTAAAATCAATACACCATCACATTCCCTGCTCTGTAAATCCACATCAACCACACTGCCTCACAGTAATATTATCTGTGGAAATTTTCAATCCCATGCAGATGACAAATACAGGTCCAGTTTAGGGTCAGTACCTGCCAAGGAGCCCATGTTGAGGCTGGCTCCAGCTCCAGCAGCTAGAGACTGCAGAGCCCCCAAAGAAGATATAGGGTTCACTGAGGAGTTGCTGCTGGAGGTGGGAGAGGAGCCTGCTCGGGGAACATGTACTGTTAGTGCTATGATCAACTGGAAAATATTAGACAAACCGGTACAGTCACAGTGCTACAGTCTGTGTGTTAGATAGAGCAACATTTTTACTACACAAAAAACTACAAGTTATTATATTCTGACAAAAAAAGCCTTAAGGAGAATTAGTGTTTGATAAGCAGTTGCTGCTGTTTCCTGAAGCCTTTTATATAGTTTACTCATATACAGTTAATATGTATTTATATATAATTATAAATAGCTGTACAGATGTTTAAAAATGAGAGTATAATTTCTGAGAATAAAGTGGCAAGAAAAAGTGTGTGACCCCTTTAGAAATACCTGGTTTAACATTAACTGGTCATAAAATGTGTCTGATCTTCATCTAAGTCACAAGTGTAGACAAACACAAACAATTTTCACTTTCAATAAACATTCACAGTTCTGGTGGAAAAAGTAAGCGAACCCTTGGATTTGATCTCATTCCACAGCATCTCTGGCTCCTTCTTGCCACTGTATGTGTTTATGTGGACTCACATGGATGACAACAAACCGCTAAGCCTTGACTATAATACAGTACTACAGTTGTAATTTTTGTTACCTGAGCTTGTTAGTGCACTTAGAGGGCTACTAGATGTTGTCATGGCGCTGGAGCCTGTGGGCGTGGCCTGTGTGGCAGTTGCTGCTGCTGCTAAAGCAGCCAGGTTCTGTATGGCATTAAGACCTGACAGACACACACACACACACACACACACTCAGTTCAAGTTGAAAACTCCACCCACGCCGTTTTCTGACCAGTACTGTATATAAAGACAGTATATACAGATGAGTTTGCTGACTGTATGAGATTACTATTCACTTAACAATACATCCTCCTATTTTCAAATCCTGATCTTACTTCTCATCTCTAATCCTTCATCTTACAATGTGTGTGTGTGTTTGTGTGTGTACCTGAAACAGGGTGCAGGTTGTTGAGTGCATTCCCTGTGGAGGCTGACTGCTGCAGCAACTGTAAGTAGAGCTATTGCCAGGAGGAGATATGAGAAACAACATATTAGAGATAAGTGACAGCAAAGTTTAACTGGTGAAATTGCTTCGTCATGGGGTCGATCAGTGTATGTTGACCCTATAAACACACACTCACTGCTAGGTACTGTGGCCCCAGGCTGTTGAGCCCAGTGAGATTTCCCCACATGGAGGCAGCACTAAGTTGCTGCATCTGCTGCTGCAACTGTTGGGCCATGCGCTTCTGCTCCTTGTCCTTCTGAGTGTCTGCAAACTTCACAACTATGGGCGATGAACAGCCCTGAACACAGACACAGGAAATCTTCAGTACTGTGACAGCTTCATGTACTGATATAAATACTGATTAAACCTGCATTAACTTACAACTGAAGTGCAAGTAAAATAATTGATATTATTTTTTAAAAGTTGTTCTACCTTGAATGATGATTAAATGTTTTTTTTGGTAATATTTCAACAGTGGAAACAATTTAATCTACCACTTTTGAGATTAAGGTCATAATTTTACAACATCACATATTGTTTTTAGTGTGGAGCTGAAGTTCACCTCCATGGTCTGAGACTGGTGCATGGACTTGATGGCTGACTGGGCCATTTGTCTGGCTGTGAATGTCACGAATGCACAACCTGAAAGACAGAAACACAGTGCGTCATGATTCACATAAACTTTCCACCACCATACATCTACATATGTGTGTATATATGTGTGTGTGTGTGTGTGTGTGTGTGTGTGTGTGTGTGTGTGTGTGTGTGTGATTATGTAGGTTAAATTGGGTCGGAGCTGAGCACGGTCTTCAATATCATATCATCATCTCACACTTTTAAATCTCCCAATAAACATAAAAGCATATGGGTCTTGATGAGTAATTCTCTAGAGTCTAGAGTCTAGACTACAAAGAGAAATATTTGAGGCAATTTCTACACCCAACCAATATTAACAATCAGCTGGTATCAGTTATCAGACATCATCAAATGGCCATTTGACATTCAGTCAAATTGTTTTGCTCCATGGTTTTCAAAAGTTAACGTCTGAGTTACCTACATTTTATGAGTATTTACTAAGCTGTGTTGCCTTGGTGAACCAAACATGTTATCCCCCCCTCCCCGTGGTATCTGCCCATTTCAATTCAGACACATGTCAAGCAGTGACGGGGCAACATTATCATTCACTGGAAGTCGTGTTTCTGGCCACCTGGTGACTTTAAGTCCAATATTTACTTTCTTTTGGCTCCTGAGGGAAATATCAGGCTCCACTATGCTCACCAGCTAGTTGCTAACTGTGTGGGTCTGTCTTGGTGCTGAGTAGGTGTTGTTCACTGGGTTTTTAGATATTTTCACTGAACAGTCACGTGCTGTGACTGAAAACAAAGCTTTGGGAGCAGTCAGAGTGTTTCAGGCCAGACAGATAAACAATGAGCTGAAACTTGTTAAAAAGCTCTGTAAAGCTGCAGACTGAGCTGCAGATTCAGGTGATTCAAATGGTCACATTGTTTTTTTACCACTGTCACATTATCAACAGAATAAGCCATACCACGGCTGAGTCCATCAGGGCCTCGAAGTATCCGACACTCCTCTATTTGTCCGTACGGGGAGAACATCAGTCTGATGTCATTCTCATTACACTTCTTGGAGATCATTCCAATAAACAGCTTCCTGTCCTCCACTGCTGTATTCAACACAACATCAAAAAGACCAGGTCAAACAGACTCTATGATAATGGTTCAATTACAACATTCAACACACACAAACATTTGTTTGTGGCTCTTCTGCAACTTATCATCAAACAGACATGAGTTAAGTTTAGGACAGTCTCTTCTAACAGCTGAGCTCTGTGACGCATTAACAACAGTTTCACAATTCTTTTCAAGCTTGTTGGAGTAAAACAAGGCGAGGACTAAAAACGGCCTGAAAAAACCTTCAAGGTAAAAGAAGTTCACAATTTTTCAAGCCAATCTTCAAACAGTACTCAGGTGCAAATATAACCATTGAAACAGGTTTTGCTTACTGTAATAATTCCTTCTGTTCATACTGGCCATTAACAGATCCCTTCCTACAGTAATGTGATTCCAGTGCGAGTGATGGGGGAGAAAATCCACGGTCTCCTTCTCTGCAGGAAGATATCTACTCGATTTGATCAACTCAGACTGCTGAAGCCTCACATTAGCTTCAAATACATCTTTGCATAAAACAATGAATGCACTTGAGGTATGAATAAGAGGAATTATTACCACAATTAAAAAAAAGTTTCAATGTTCATATAAGCACCTGAATATAGTTTTTAGACAGACTTGAAAAATTATGAACCTATACTCAGCAGAATAAAAGTATTTAAACATTATGGATGAGAAAAACTGAATGTCTGAAATTTAGAAAACTGAAAGAAGAAAGTTAAACCTTTTCTTTGTTGTGTTGGTTAGTAAGTGGATAAGACTCAACTTGACAGATGGTTTCTGTTTTATCCACATCTCAGGCTTTGTGCTAGTTTAAGTTTTCTAGTTGTTTTAATTAAACATATATATATAGACTGAAGCATCTCTGTGGGTAACAGTGTTACAGGTAGTAGTGCTCCTTTTTCCTCATGGCAGACAGCATGGTGAATAGATTTATTAAATGATATAATTACCTATTATATTGCTTTTTAAATCAATAAGCTTTGTTAGGGTTATCATTATCATTAGTAAAGGAATTAACACAGAGTTGCTCGCATGAAATGCAAAAGAATTCTTACCATTGTTTTTCTCACTGTCAGCTGGCTTCATCTGGATCGGGTGGTGCATCTGAACAAGGCAACAAATAACACATTAGTACTAACAGTGCTGGAATATGCAGCTCTGTGTTGTGCGATGCATTTCAATAGTGTTGACAGAGATATCATATCCATGTTACTAGTTCCAGAAGTTAGAAAAAGAATAGCAGGGGGAGTTATGGTAGAAGATGGCAGGTTGTGACACTGTTTAAAAGATGGTTTAGAGAGTTGGCTCACACTTGCTTGGTCTTTTACCCATTACTGATTATGATTATGTTGGTGCTTTTAATACATTCAAGCAAGTCAGGTAAAGGCAACATTAAACTAGAAAACCTAAACATGCGTAAAAGCTGACATTTAATTGTAAAAGCATGATGCTATAATTGCACTACCAGAAACAGGCAATCGTAAATTCCACTTTAAAGTTTTTTTGTCATCAGTTGTTAGATTTTACACGATTGAGTTAAGTTTGTCATTTAAACCATAAGATCCCTGACATGATGGTTTTTCAATCTAACTTCTTACACTGAAGCACTCTCTGTGAAAACTGTCCAAAGTGGAGTTTGTGAATTATCAGAAACACATTGGTATTAATTTCTTCTCAATTATTTTCTGGACTCCAATAACAATGGGGCCAGCCCATGGATGTATTACGAGAACAAATATTGGCACCACTTCCTGGGATGTCAACAGAACAATACATACAGACAGAAGGTTAGAGCTGCTGACAGCCACTGAGGAAAACAGGAAAACAAACGCTGCTGATGGTTTAGAGGATTGACAAATGACTGGTTTTATCCCTATATAAATCAGTGTTTCCCCTACCATTGTCTTGGGGGGCAGACCCAGCAGTGTGAGAGTCTCAGAGACTGAGTTTCAGTGTGTCTTAGCCCCTCCCCACACACACAGAGCGGAGCCAAGCAGAGCAGAGGAGAGGCAGGTTGACAACTTGCATTAAGTGCAATAAAAGCTTTTGAACCCAAATGTCTGACAGTCAGGCCAAAAAATCAAGGTTTTTTATATGCAAACAATCTGGTGACAGTGGTGAGGATGCTAGCAGCTCTGCTGCTCAGGACAGTGAAGCCCCCAAACAAGCAAATGAGGAAAGGCTTTGACCCATCTAGGCTGTCAGAGAGGAAATACTTCGATATTGGTAAGGGAATTACCAATATCATAATTAACTCAACTCCATTCAATCTTTCAAAAATAATTACAAAATTATTATTAACAAACTGACTTTCATCTGTACAGATCAGCAAAATGATGACTAACCCACCCTGGTGCCTCCACTCTGTATCTGACCAAACAGACCAAACAACTGACAGAGACTAAAGAGGCTAAACTGAACATAGCTGAAAAAGAATATATAAATCCCCCTCCTCCTCCAAACTGAAGGATATCTCTGCATTTCAGTCCAACTTAAACAAAGCTGATTCAAAAACCAATTGTCAATTGTAGATCATGAAGGAAACCGACCCAACCGCAACACTACCAATGACACTTTTATGAAAATTTATATTAATCTAAATCATGTACTGACAAATCCAAATCAATGGAAACCTCCATATAACTTCCCACAATTCTACAGGAGCAAAGCTCCTTCTCCAATTCTGATAAAGAAGGACAAAGTACTCGGGGCTATTGAAGGGCTACATTGTGGTAAAGCATCCACACGTGATGATTCAGTTCAGTCTTCTACAGTTTAATCACAAATTAGATATTTTGAGATATATTATTGAGATATATTATTATGATTGTGTCTCACTTGAACTACTGGCCACACTGCCCCTATCATTTCTGGAGGTACCACTACGTTTCATCTGTATCTGTAAGCTTTCAGGAAACATGCGCAAATACAGACGAACTGAACACACGATACAGAAAGACAGCTCCGTCCATATCTGTATAAACGTCCTAGCTCTTAGTTAGGTCGCACTGCACGACTTAAAATGAACACCAACTTTAGTCTGTCCAGATGGTTCCAGTTCTTTTCACACAGAAGACCATGAGAGTCCTAAACTCTTAGCCCCTTCACAGAGGCAAAGAAAAAACCTCTCAAGATTTCTACGTTACCTCCAGGACCACTGGGGAACAGTGTGACGCCATGATGAGACCACAGTCCAGATACATTATGTCATTTGGAGCAAGTGTTTGTAAACAAGTGCCACAGCACCACCGTCTGGATATTTGAAATTAAACATTAAACATGCACAATGTGGAGCTCATAATGGATGTGCCTTCTCTCTGTATCTCAATTTGGAGCTTCTTTTGATGAGATACAACATTTTCCAAAAAAGTCCGGTGGCTGGTAAAAAATCAAAAATGTGCTTGATGAGTTTTAAGTTGCTGAGAAACTATTCTTTTACAAACATTACATTAATTAATAACAATAATACCAACGTCCATGGAAAGGTCAGAAGAAGGGGGTGTCACTTACCCCTGGCAGAATCTTCATGTTGTGCAGAGCGTTCTGTGCTTCCAAGGCTGACTTGCGAGTATAATACGTTATAAAACAGCAGCCTGCAGGGGAATGAAAAAATGAAAAAAGACACCCGTGTTACACACCTGACTGAGTTATTACATTTGGTATGTAAGACCATACATCTACTGTATGGAACATATGCGTGGGCCCATAGTAGTTTGGCAGTAGACCAGTTTAAATCATTGATCTTCAAGAAAATGATTAACCCTCTACAGTGATGAACAGTGGCCTTTAGCATTCAAAATGATGCACACAATGATTTTTTAATACTAAAAAAAAAAAGACAAAAAGCACGACCCAATCAAACTGTATATTATACTGCTAAATTTAAGGGTCCCATATAGATTACAGCAGGCTCAGATTAATTCTATTGTGGCTTTATGTCTCTAATCTGTTACTGCTATCTGTTATTTTGTTATTTGTTAATTCTACACTGTACTTGCACTTTCTCTCTTTCTGTGTGTGTGTGTGTGTGTGTGTGTGTGTGTGTGTGTGGCTGACCTTTGCTCTGTGGTGGATTCTGGCTGCGGTCTCGGAGAACATTAATCTCATAGACTGCTCCATAAGGCTCAAATAGCTCACGGAGCTGCTCTTCAGACCAGGACCGTGGAATCTGTCCCACAAACATCTTAATGGCATCGACGTCTGGTTGGTCGGGATGGTCCAGAGACCCATTCATTTTCTTCCCGCTACAGATACACAAATATCAGTGCATTAGATGGAGGTTGAAAACAAGTACAAAAATTCAACAAAAGCGTGCTGAGTAAATCCTTCAATTGCCTGATTTCTCTGTGAGAAAAATCATGGGAAGCGGATGTAGATATGGAGGAAAGTAGAGATGCTCTGGTTGTCTTTTATTTTCTTTATTTATGATGCTGATTATCAACGTCATATAGTAATAATCACATATTGTACTGATTCAGCTGTACAGACTCTGGAACAACCCTCCTCCTCCACCACAGTGATGACTCTCCATCCTGGAGAGATATTAGCTATTAGAGATATTAACTTTTCAAGAGGCAAAAAAGCTGGAAAGCAGCTGGACCTGACTCTGTCTCTCCATCTACCCTGAAGCACTGTGCTGATCAGCTGACTCCACCGTTCACAGACATCTTGAACACCTGACTGGAGACATGCCGTGTGCTGCTTCAAATCCTCCACCATCATCCCTGTCCCTCAGATACCGCTTCTGAGCTGAAATTTGGTAGTCGGTCAATACCAATGAAATTCCACGATTCTCAATACCAAACTTGATACCCCAGCAAAAACAGAAAACAACAGAGGCTGCTTCATGTAGGGATGGGTACCGAGCCCTGGTATTGAACAGGCCCCTGGGGGCTACATTATTAAAGACCGCAGTATCAATAAGCTTAGCGGTTCTGCTATCGGTACTGGAGCAGTCGTTTTTTTATTCTCTCCGCTAGATAAACGTTATCTTGCACATTTATTTCACCGACTCCGTCAAACAGATCGTTAGATAGATAACGATGGCGGAGAGAACCAAACGGTCCAAAGTGTGGTTCTACTGTACTCTCTACTCTCTCTCTACGCTCTACTCACATGTATGACAAATGTTTTGTTTGTTCAAGTTTTTTTTTTTTCCCTAAAAAAGTATCGATAAGAATAGTGTTCAAGTACTGGATCGATAAGCAGTATCGGTAAGAGTAGTAGTACTGTTAAAATCTTAACCATACCCATCCCTAGCTGCATGCACAGTGTGCTTACACACACCCACATGCACACACTTCCATAGAGTTATTGTGTGAACAGTAGTTTAAACTGACAGGTGAAAATATTCGTTTAAAAATCAGCGTTATATTTTAACAGACTGAACAGTAATGACAGTAGCTTACTAATGTTGTGAGCACCCAGCTTTGTGAACATTGTGTGTGAACCTAACACAGACGTCAGCTGTCATAGTTCACAAACAATACAGTAACATTTCAGGACATGAACATGTTGTTAATATAAAGTTAACAACTAAAACTCACTCAGCCTTAATTCTGTGTACAGATGCTGAGATAAGTTTGAGGTTATAGAGGTTATAATACGTCCTCTGAGCAGCGCTACGTCATCATGGCAGATTGGACGCTACAGTGAGTCGCTAGAAAGTGACAAGACGAGCCAGGGCTAGCTGGTTAGCGTGCTAACTTCAGTAGAAGAAAAGACGTGATAGAGACAAGAATTAACACTGGTGTTGCCGCCTCTGGAGACAGCTGTTGGTGAATAAAGGAATGAAGTTTGATGATTAACAGTGACATTAGTGAACCGAGACAAATGATGATTCAACTTACTATGTGGATTTTAGAACATAGTCCTGGTGCCACAGCCTCCACTAATAACTAATCTACTTCTACTCAGTCTACTGCCCATGCTAAACCTGCCAATAACCCTCCTCCCCATGAAGCTGTCCATTCCTGCCAAACTTGGCCCAGCTCTGGAGTAGTAACTCTGTAAATGTTTAAATCCGCATGAGTCGACTCAGCTCTAGCACAGCCTCCAGTCTCCACCTTCTGAGCTGTGCACACTTCCTCATCTTCTGCTTCCTTCTCCTCAGCCTCAACCACAAGACCTTTCGAGCCAACTTCCCCAGTCCAGTTCTGCCTCACAGACTCCTGAGCCTCAGGCCAACCTCCATCTCCTGGTGAGCCTAATATGCGTCCAGTACTAGCAAGCGCTACATTTTACAGTGTTAGTCTGAATGCATCTCAGAGATTATTGTAAATCCTTTACCACAGCAAAATGTATTCCCTCCCCCCTGGAATACCTTTTCTTAGGTCCGCAGCCCAAATAACAGTTAGCATTTTACCTGCACTACGTATATGTAGTTATGTACATTTGACCCGAAGCACATTTTTACACTTCAAGTCTGGGCTTTGTGTACTGGATGACCTACAACTCAACACACAGAGCACCGGAGTTGCTACTGCTGCTGCTGCTGCTGTTCTGCCCAGACACACTGTAACTTAGCAGCACAGCCCCCTTCCTTAGACCACTTCAATTACCAGATTCTTTACCTGATGAGTTTCTACTCTCAGGTCCAGGTTGGTGTCCTCCCTCCCCAACCAACCACGAGCTACTGCTAGTGTCCTGCTCCCTCCTCAAACTTCTTATCCTCATTTGCAGCAGCCAGTTGTTGTGCCTCCTTCAGCAGCACCTGTTGAAGGCTCTTTTATTCCTGAATTTCAGCCAACAAAGTATCACATCTTACTTGACCATCTAAAGAGATTAAATGCTCGTCAACTTGCTCTTTCATATGCGCATATCAAATATGTTTACACCTATGTACTAAATCCCTTTAACAACGCTGTGGACAGGCACATCACATAGGCTACATCCACACTACTATGTTTTCATTTTAAAACTTTTCTCTTTTGCTACGATTGCACCTCCCGTCCACACTACTCCAGAGTTTTCAAGCCATGAACACGGAGACTTTTGGAAACACTGCTGACCCCGTTTTGGTCTGGGGTTGCGTTGTATCTGGACGGGTGAAAACAGAGACTTTTGGAAACAATGACATAGACATCCACGGTCGCTCCATGATTGGGTCTTATCAGCCTCAACTACAAGTGGTGAAAGCAACATGGATAATAAAATACACGCGTTATTGACTTTGTTGTCTTTGCTAGCAGGTGTTGTTCAGTTAAATCCTGCATTTTAACACTGCAGCTGTCTTTGATGTTCCTCGTTTGTAATATTTTTTGCAACTAATCAACTGCATGCCAGTGTAAGTGATTGCTCAGGTATGTATGTTTTTTCAGATGTGGTTGTCTGGACAGAGATCATTTCCGATTGGGACTTCAAACGCTCGTCTGGACAGAGACCGTTTTCATTTGAAAGTGCCACTTTAAAATGAAAATGTAGTGGTGTGGACGTAGCATTACTCCTCAGTGAGATCTTCCATCTCTTCATGCAGGAGATTTACAAGGCCTCAGGGAGTTCACCAACACAGTCAGATCCCAAGTGGACACGTTGCAGTCCTCAGTCAGTGCACCGGGAAAAGCCGAGTTTGCCTGAGCTTCTCATGTTCACAACATTTAAGCCAAGTCATCTTCGGACCAAGTTGCCAATCATGCTCAGTATGCATGCTCCACCCGTCCTGGTTCTCCTTACAATCCTCTGGACTTTGTAGTCTGGTTAGAAGCTGAGTGTCAGGTGGTAGCAACACAAGTAAACAGCAACAGCAGACACAGAGAGCCAAAGGGAGAGGAGACAGACCAGAGCAGAGCTATCTGACTTCTACTACTGTTTATTACATGGAGCAAATTCACAGACAGGTTCAGCTTTTCCAGTAGCCACCTCATGACCATAAGGGAAAACTTCAAAATCACCCTGTCAGGACTGCAACATCAATTATCATTTAACTGTCTGTCCAAAGTGTCCATCTACTTTTAGTCATAAATGGTCAGAAAAGTCAATGGACGGACGAAGGAATACGAGATCTTGAAAGAAAGAAAGACTTTTCTTTTTAAGATAGCTGAAAAAGTTTTGCATATTACAGCAAGGTATGAAGACACAGTATCATACATGTTTTTTTTTAACAGTTAATTAGCACAATGATGATAGAAATAAACTACAGAAGGTATTCCCTAATAATTCATAATAAACACACTGTCGCTCCATCACTGCCTCTGATTCACTGTCCTCAGTTCTAACCATCATCTCCATCTCTGACTCTATACACTTCTCATTCACTCATCAGCTTCCTAATAAACTGTATATACCTGCCTTTTTTGCCCCCTAGTCATCTGCCAAATCGTCCATCCTGCCTTACTGTTCTAGCCTTTGTCCTTATTATGTCATTTTTGGTTCACGACTCCTCACGTTTGCTGGTTTGCCGATCACATGCCGATGATGAGATCATTTAGTATGAAAATCAACTATGAATTAAAATATGGAATCATAGCACACATATACACACACACATACACAAAAAACATATTATAATGAACTGAAATTAATGGCACAGAGTAGCCATTCCACAGGGATGTGATCCCAGCACCACCACTAACTGGACTATAGACAACATGCTGACTGAGGCCATTTTCTCCAAAACCGCACACTCGCTAAGCACTGCATTAGAAACACCTGTACACTTGCTTATTCACACAATTATCCAATCAGCCAATCATGTGGCAGCATGTCATTACATAAAATCACACAGATACAGATGAGGAGTTTCAGTTAATGTTCGCATCAAACATCAGAATGAGGAAAAATGTGACTCATTGTTTGATTGTTGACTGATTGTTGGTGTCAGATGGCTGGTTTGAGTATTTGTCAAACTGCTGATCTCCTGGATTTTCACACACAACAGTCTCTAGAGTTTTTACTCAGGATGGAGCCAAAGACAAAAAGCATCCAGTGAGCAGCAGCTCTGTGTTGGCGAGAGAGGTCAGAGGAGAAAGGACAGACTGTTTGGAGCTGGAAGAAAGACTACGGTTTGAGCTCTTATTCTACAGCTTCCTATTGCAAAGTCTTTTAGGGTCTGACACAGAATACCACACTAAAACCACTGTTGCTTGAAAACAAAACAAGATATCACAAAGTGTGTAGTCCAAAGACTCATGTGTCATTTAAGGTTTGAATGATGTTTCTAGGTTAAATATTGGGAAAGTTACACAACTCCAAAGACAAGTAGCACATGTGATGTGTTAGCTGCCTTTGATTTGATTTAGTTTTTGAG